CATGCCGCCGCCAGGCAACGTGCATGAGGCACAGCGGACACTCGCCGACCAGATACGGCGTGTGGAGCGGACCAACCCGTACTCTTTAGTTATTGTCCTCGGGGACTTTAACAAAGGTAATCTCACCCATGAACTTCCTAAATACAAACAGTTTATTAAGTGCCCCACCAGAGAGGAGAACACGCTGGATCACTGTTACGCCACAGTAAGCAGGGCTTATCACGCCGTCCCTCGTGCTGCACTGGGACACTCTGACCACGTCATCGTCCATCTGATTCCTGCATACAGGCAGAAACTAAAGTTCTGCAAACCTGTGGTGAGGGAATTCAAGAAGTGGACCAGTGAGGCGCTGGAGGATCTTCGGGCGTGCTTTGACTGCACAGACTGGGATGTTTTCAGGACTGATACTAACAGTCTGGATGAGTTCACAGAGGGTGTAACTTCCTACATCGGCTGCTGTGAGGACAGCTGTGTACCATCATGCACCAGGGTGAGTTACAACAACGACAAACCCTGGTTCACAGCGGAACTCAGAACACTACGCCTGCAGAAGGATCAGGCATTTAGGAGCGGGGACAAAGACTTGTACACAGAGTCAAAATACAAGTTTAGCAAGGCGGTGAGAGATGCTAAACGACTGTACTCTGAGAAACTCCAACAACAGTTCTCAGCAAGTGACTCTGCTTCGGTTTGGAGAGGCCTCAAACACCTCACTAACTACGAGCCAAAAAAAACCCACTCCATGAATGACCCCGCCTGGCAGACGAGCTGAATGAGTTCTACTGGAGATTCGAAAGACAATGTCCTGATCCCATCCCCCACAGCTCCACCAACCTGCTGCAGTCCCCCACCCCTCCCTCCCCCAGCCCATCAGGTGCTCACGCCTCTTCATCTATATCACCTTCCCCTCCCCCATCAGCAACGACCCTCTCTATTCTATTCTGGAGAGAGACGTTAACCGGCTCTTTAAAAGACAAAATCCCCGTAAGGCAGCCGGTCCGGACTTCGTCTCCCCTCACACCCTGAAGCATTGTGCTGACCAGCTGTCTCCGGTATTCACTGACATCTTCAACACCTCCCTGGAGACATGCCACGTACCAGCCTGCTTCAAGGCCTCCACCATCATCCCTGTTCCCAAGAAGCCCAGGATCACAGGACTCAATGACTACAGGCCTGTCGCCCTGACCTCTGTAGTCATGAAGTCTTTTGAACGGCTAGTCCTGACCCACCTGAAGTCCCTCACCGACCCCCTCCTGGACCCCCTGCAGTTTGCCTACAGAGCCAACAGGTCTGTGGACGATGCTGTCAACATGGCCCTCCACTACATCCTCCAGCATCTGGACTCCCCAGGAACCTACGCCAGGATCCTGTTTGTGGACTTGTGGATCCTGTTTATGGGCGACTGTGGGTGAGTGGGGAGCACGGTTGTCCTGCAATCAGAGGGTTGTGGGTTCGATCCCAGTCCCGGCTAACCCGCATGTTGATGTGTCCTTGGGCAAGACACTTAACCCAACATTGCTCCTGTAGCTGCGACTACAGCGTATGAATGTTAGTTACTGATGGGCAGGTGTCACTGTGTATGGTTCTCCTGTCATCAGTGTATGAATGGGTGTGAATGGGTGAATGATGTCATGTAGTGTTAAAGCGCTTTGAGTGGTCGGAAGACTAGAAAAGCGCTATACAAGTACAGTCCATTTACCATTTACCATGACTTCAGCTCTGCCTTCAACACCATCATCCCGTCTCTGCTGCAGGACAAACTCTCCCAGCTGCATGTGCCCGACTCCACCTGCAAGTGGATCACAGACTTCCTGTCTGACAGGAAGCAGCACGTGAAGCTGGGGAAACATGTCTTAGCCTCTCGGACCATCACCGGTTCCCCCCAAGGCTGCGTTCTTTCCCCTCTGCTCTTCTCCCTGTACACCAACAGCTGCACCTCCAGTCACCAGTCCGTCAAGCTCCTGAAGTTTGCGGATGACACCACCCTCATTGGACTGATCTCTGGTGGGGATGAGTCCGCCTACAGGTGGGAGTCTGACCATCTGGTGTCCTGGTGCAGTCAGAACAACCTGGAGCTCAACGCTCTAAAGACAGTGGAGATGGTTGTGGATTTCCGGCGGAACAGAGTCCCACCCTCCCCCATCACCCTGTGTGACTGCCCCATCACTATTGTGGATTCCTTCCGTTTCCTGGGCTCCATCATCACCCAGGACCTCAAGTGGGAGCTGAACATCAGCTCCATCACCAAGAAGGCTCAGCAGAGGTTGTTCTTCCTGAGGCAGCTGAAGAAATTCAACCTGCCAAAGACGATGATGATCCACTTCTACACGGCCATCATCGAGTCCATCCTCTGCTCTTCCATCACCATCTGGTACGCTGCAGCCACAGCCAAGGACAAGGGCAGGCTGCAGCGTGTCATCCGCTCTGCAGAGAGGGTGTTCGGCTGCAATCTGCCGTCCCTGCAGGACTTGTTCGCTTCCAGGTCTCTGAAGCGAGCTAAAAAGATCGTGGCCGACCCCACTCACTCCGGACAAAAACTGTTTGTGCCACTTCCATCTGGCAGGAGGCTGAGGTCCATCAGGACTAAGACCTCCCGCCACACGAACAGTTTCTTCCCGTCGGCAGTCGGGCTCATCAACAGAGCCCGGTCCCCCACAGTCTGACTATAACATTCCACCGGTCACTCCCCTTCACACTGCACATGTCACTTTAAATGTAAATTATCACTTTGTCGTCACTCGTCACTTTGTTACTTGTTCGCTAGTGCACTTTATGCTTAATATTTTTTAACTTTAACTTTATTCCCTTGTTTTATACTAACCCATAGCCTTATTCTACTAACCCATTGCATTAGCATTTCATTTTACTTTATTGTATTACTTGTGCACTGCTGTCTTGTTGTCTATTGTTACACTGTCTGTCATGCACCAACCGCCAAGACAAATTCCTTGTATGTTTGACATATTTTGGCAATAAATGTTTCCTGATTCCTGACAACGTCGCGGCATGCTCCTAATGAGACGATGGGTGGTGTCTTATGGGGTGTCCTCCCAGACATGTCTAAGGGCATCCGTGAGCTCCTGCATAGTCTGAATGATGTTGTTGGCAGCATAGCGTTCTCATTGGCTTCTCCAGACCCTTTCACGTCTATCACAGGTGCTCAGGGTGAACCTACTCTCATCTGTGAATAGCACAGGGAACCTGTGGCGGACATGCCAATTCTTGTGTCCTATAGAAAATGCCAATCGAGCTCCACTAGGCTGGCAGTGCAGTCCTATACTAAAGGACGGCCACCCTGATGCCACACTCATGTCTGTTTGGTTGGGCAGGGATATTCACACTAGTGGCCTGCTGGAGGTCATTCTGTAAGGCTTGGGCAGTGCTCAACCTATTCCTCCTTGCACAAAGCAACTACCCCCGGTGGTTGGCGGACCTCTACTGTTACAGCCCTTTTAATTTGTGATTTTCGTGCCATACAAAATAAAATGAATTGAATTGGGCATACGTCATCATATAATATGAATCATTTGGATTGACAGTGTTGGGTACGCAACAGCAAAATCCCAAATCAATGTATTATTGATTTCAAGTGATTGCATGGTGCAATGTGATATCTTAGTTAGTGCATATGTGTGCAATAAAAATATATCATATTTTAGTAATATAGTCTTCAAATGTGAAAAACTGTGAAATAGTGTTAATGTTAGTATATGTATATATTAGTAGTTCAGTCGGCATACTTTTACTAATGTATTTAGTGTGTTTTTGAAAATATTATTTCTAAAAAGATAAAGTATATAGGGTAGAGAACCCATAAACAAAGCGTGTGCCCCTGACCGTACACCAGAGTTGAGGCAGGAGTGGGTCTGTAAACTGTCAACTTGCAGTTTAAGTAGTGATATTACTTTGGCCTACTTTTTGTTTTCCAAGGTACTCAGTCAGCAAGGTCGGCAACACGAGCCCCCTTCTAATGGGCATAGTTCCTTAAAGACCTGTAAAACTGTGACTCTATTTTATAAAAAAAGACAAGGTGAGATTTGATTTTAGATATTTGATGGCAGACAAGAAACTTAAGCTTGCAGTTTGTGGGGATACTTAAGAAATATAATCCCATTGCATTTGAGTTTCAACTCATTGACAAACTATGAAAGAAGTGCTTAAGATCATGCTGTTAAATTACTGTAATATTCAGCTCACAGTCGTTGAGTACTATTGTGCCATCTGATGGTGAAGGTATGACATGTCTTCCTGTGTTTCACTATCCCACCAATTGTTTTTCTGACTAATTGTGGTACTGTTCCATAAATCGTAAGTAGATAAGCAAAAAAACGAGTTCCTTTTATCATGATGAAGATATAAAGATCATGGGGAAATTTGTCCCTTTCAAGTTGTGCAAAAATGCAATCACTCTGAGGAGATCACACAATCCGGAAGAGACCTGAATCATTATTCATGTTGCATTCAATGTTTATGGGAATAATGCCCTGTCGGACATTACCCCTCCCTTCAGCTTTGATCTGGTATTCACTAAGGGTTTTAGGGAATGAATGGCTATATAAATCTTAGACATGGTTGATTCTATCAATGGTCTATCTGTGATTTCCTTGCTGTTAATTAGGCACTAAACTAGTGAACAATAAATCCGTAAAAGATTTTCAGATTCATTCATTAGACATGCTTTATAGTTTACATTTTTTGGTTAAATATAGTTTGTTAAACTATAAAGCATGTCTAATGAATGAATCGGCTGCCAATCTAAGAAATTCTTAGTCTTAGAAACAATATCATATATGTATAATATCTTTCCAAATCATCCAAATTATTGTAAGTGGCACAGCGTCCACGAGGACTGCTCCAGTATTTTCTCTAATCATGATATTTTATCATTATCAGAGGCAGCAAAAATCGAGCGACGCCGAGCGCGAAAAGCGGTCGGTGGCAGGTTATGCTTTGCCTTAACGGCAGGTGACGATGATCGGTGGCAAGTTGCGGTGGTAGGTGACAGGTTGCGGTGGTTGGTGGCAGGATCCTCCGCTGGTCGGATCCTTTTTCGGAACGTTACATAATATTTGCATGTCGCTGAATACCCAACTGAGTTCGGCTTATGCCGTTCTGAAAAAGGATCCGACCACCGACCACCGGAGGATCCGACCACCGCAACCTGCCGTTAAGGCAGAGGAACCTGCCACCGACCACTTTTCGCACCCGGCCCTACTGCAAAAATCAACAGAGTAGTGGTCTATATTCCCAGGTAACGTGAAGGTAGCACAGCTCATTTACTGTAAACACTGCATGAAAAATACGTAGAAGCAGGAAGTTTCCAGATATCACCACGAGCGTTTGTCACTCAGTCTCTGGCAGTTTTCTTTCTTCACTATGATTCTTCTTCGACCAGTTTTGGTGATAATCTGTGTTTCGTCCGCGGTGACGATTATACCATGGCCTCCTCTCAACTGCTCCAAACAGGTACTGTTAAGTTTTCCGTCTACAGTCCGTGTACTTTTACAAACATTCTATTGCCTTCAGCTTTAATGTGAAATATTCGTATTTCCGGGTTAGCTGTCGCGCTTATAACTAAAAAAGGGGACTTACAGCTAGTTATTGGTTTTGATTGTTCGTTTTTGGACAACAAATACGGCCGTACATTTCCGCTTTTTTGTTTTTGATTTAAAATGAAAACCATGGCATTTTGGTTAAGGTAAAAAATAGACTATCAAAGGGTACAGGGGCCACGGACGCACCTGTTTTAGCTTAGTCTTTTTCCTTCCTGTCTAGAAACGTTTTTTTCCAACGCAACTTAACTTTTAAGCTAACGTGATGTAATGTAGTTAATGTTGTGGCCAATATATGCAGAATGATGTCCAAATATCTGTTCTACTTGGCCATCTATTATTTAATTTTACATATACATATTGACCACACTGTTGTTTTGTGTCCGTGACTTTTTGTGAATACTGTGAATACTGCCGGTAGTTTGGGTAGGATTGTTTAACACTGGGTCCTAACTTGGTTGGATTCAGCAAACTACAAGTAAAACTATTAAAACAAATGATTGTGTTTTAAGGTGATTTAGCGGTGTTAAAGCCTTATCTACTCGCCTTTTCAAGCCAAATAAATTAAAATTGTCAGTCTGTAAAGGGACGATAACGCTGGTAAATTAACCTTACCTGGATAGACGTCCGTTGTCATTGTAGGCATTATTTTTCGATTAGATTAAAATGATTAAAGGGTCACCAAAATTACCATAGATGCTGTGAACATATCAAATCCCCTCATTCTGGACTTAAAAATAGTAAGTAGTAGTAGTAAATAGTATTCAAATAGTATAATAAAAAGCTCTTTCATTTTAATTTGAGTGTATAACACCACCTGCGGGACATTTGTTAAACTATTCTTATCTCATGAATGGCTTGCAAAACACCAGTGGGCTCATGTAGAAAGGGTGCGTATGCACAAAAAAGTGGCGAACACACGTTTTCATATCAACGATCAGATGTATCAAAAGCAAAATGACCGTGGAAATGTGCCGTGCCTCACGCCAACTTCAGGGCTGTCGTAGACCCTTTTCTACAGCTGTTGATTCCTTGGCGACACTTACAGGTGATGTTGGGAAACTCTAATAATTAATAAATATGAACACAATTTGTCTTCAGACTGAGTGATGTGCACATCTGAGACACATGAACAATTAACACTGATTAACAATTAACACGTGTCTGCAGTTACACGAGTGGATATAAAATGCATAAAGTGGTGCAATGCATACTATTAAAACAATGGCTGCTTTAGCACTACTAGAAGACATTGCAAATGGTGCAATAAGGAGAGAGCGCATATTTAGAGACAGAGAGGATTTGCTTGCACATGAGGATAACTGGCTCATTAGCTGCTTTCGGTTCCCGAGGGCAATCCTCCTCTTACTATGCACTGTCTGGTAAGCTGCAATATCGTCAGACTATTCATCATCTATTGAGCTGTTAGTAGCCTGGCCGTGGAGCTGGGGCAGGTGGCTGTTGGTTCTGGGGGTTGGAGATAGGGGGTGGGTTCAAGGGGCTGGGGAAAGTGGATGTTGGGAGGGGAAGGCAAATTCAGGCGAAGACCAGGAAGATGCTGATTGGTTTGCTGGAGATAGTGAGGTGGAGGCAGGGTTCGTACGGTCATGGAAAACCTGGAAAAGTCATGGAATTTCAAAATGGTCATTTCCAGGCCTGGAAAAGTCATGGAAATTTGTTATATTTCTATGGTCATGTGGTTCATTTAATATTACGTTTGAAATCATTCATATGGTTTTAAAGAGACGCAGGACGCTCTGATACTCGCAGCGCAAATAATTCACACCGCGGCTGTGTAAACGCGCTTTAACTGAAAAGTTCGGTAGCTCAGGAATCATCCAGTGTCAGGGAAGTGTAGATTTAACCGTGGTTGGCTACATATGGAAAAGTGCATCTCATGAGTTACGACAAACAAAGACCCGGGACGAGCAGAATGTAAGTAATGTGGAGGAACATGATATATTTTAAACATGGGAGAGCGGCATTAACGAGCCGTGCTAAAGGAAGCAGACATCACTGCGCCGCTGCTAGCGAAGCTACTACAGAAACCCCATCAGAGGTCGACTGCTAGCGAAGCCCCCATGCAGAGCAGCACGTCTCTCTCTTCGGCCTCCGGCGCTGTACGCGACACCGACATTTCCCGACGTGCGCTGCCCGCCTGCTAGCAGCAGTTCCAAGTTGTAAACAGAGGGCGTGGCGGCGTTGCTTCGGTGTTCTTTGTCATTGAGCCGTATTAAGCTGCAGACACGTGACTTAATTTTCCTCCTCGAATGACAGGAGATCATTTGATTCTTTTCGTTTTGTGTTTATTTTATGCTGCAATGCGTCAACATAATATACAATTACTACATTCTGTCACACGGCAGATAAACAATATGCTCTTGTGCCTAACGCAGCTCTTCTGTGTTGCACCTACTGCAATCACGACGTCAATACATGGAGACACACAAGGAGCGTCAATCCAACATAAATGCGTTCAATACAAGTTACATATCTTTAGTTCCTGCACAATGGCACTGTTTAGGCACCGGTATGTTTTATAAGTATCGTTTTAGCACTGGTATCAGGAAAACCCCAAACGATACTCATCCATAGTGGATAATTGTATAATTATAACATCTTGAGACCGAATTGAATGGTGGGGGAAACACTGTATGCTTTGGTATTCTCATTGTTAGTTTAAATACTACATTTTCTCACTTTTTCATGTATACACTGAGATTTCACACTTATTTGGTCATGGACATTTTGTTTGAAGTCATGGAAAAGTCATGGAAATCCACTGGTCAAAATGTGTATGAACCCTGTGGAGGAAGGCCCACACCGCGGCCCTGACGATGTGACCCGTGATCAGTCAATCACCAATGGGTCCAGAAGGTAGAGGCCATACTAACCCGAACCCAGCCACCCCCAATTTCCGATCCCTTTTGCCCCCCGGACCAGCTCTGGATCCAGTGGAGATTGATGACCATCCATGATCAGCAGTTGCAGGCTCTCCTGCGCTCGACAAACCCCTTCTTGAAAAGGTCTTTGTCCATATACGCAGCTAGCAACTTCCCATAGAGGGCATTTGGCACCAATTCCTTGTTATAAGGACCCCCTGAACATCCCCCCTTATAGATGATGAAAAGGGGGCGTATCCTCTCCAACCACGTTCAGGCAGGCCAGGACTGTGATGTGTTCCCTGGGCCTGCCTGTAGGCATGTTTAGTCCCCCCGTGACACAATGACCTTCCTCCTTGAGGAGTCCAGCTGAAAGCCTGTCTTGTCACAGTAGTACAGTAGTTTCTCCTTCAACCCGTTGTTCTTCTTGACACAGCATGCCCTCCATGGTCCGCTGTGTCTGTGTGCGCGCGCTGCCGCCCCGCCCCCGCTTTCCACAAGGAAAAGGGACAGAGGCAGCGCGATCAACTTAAATGTTGGTGGTGACGTTCATTTATATGTAAAATGAATATCGCAGTACCAAACATTATTGCACACAATTTCAGAGAGTTCATTTTATCGCATATTGCGACAAGCCTAGCAGTACCGAGACTGCCATCCACGGCGCCATCTTATATTCCACCTATTTCACAGATGAAATAAAAAAGTATGACCCTAACTATGACCCTTTTGTAAATCTTTTTTTACTTGGTTTTAATTCCTAAACACGAATAAACCTTTTCTTTGTCCACGACAATGTTTATATTTTTTATCTTAATTTAAAAAAATATTCATGTTATGTTGGATTCAAATTTGACAATAGTATATCATATTTCATACATATAGTGCAGCTTAAAGTGCTTGTCATCAACTTGTAAGGAAAATAGTCAATTATATTTCATTCATATATTTAAGAATAATTGCTCATTTCTCCGTTGACTACACTGTCTTGTCATCTGGACTGCGAATTTGATGTTCTTCTGTCATGACAACATGGAAGCTTATCGTTGAAACAATTTTAATCAAGATAACTCCATGAATGCCTACGTGGTAAAGTGTGTTTTTGGCGTCACAACAGCCCACCCCAGTGCATGCTAACCCGCATGTCGATGTGTCCTTGAGCAAGATTCTTAACCCCAACATTGCTCCTGTAGCCGTGACCAGGGCTGTAGTGGAGGGTAAACGCCGTTTACGCACCTCTAGAATTTGGAAATAGCGTTTACGCACCTATAAATAGCGTTTACGCACCTCAAAGTTCCTTGCGCCTTGTATTCTTCCGTTGAAATAATCCGAAATAAACTTGGTGTAATTTTAAAACAGCTAAGACTACGTTTCCTATTGTTGAACATATAAACGCCGTAGTCTGAATCATGCTCATCTGCGCTGTATTACGGTCTGTGAGCATCCAATCAGCACCTTGCGGCTGCAGCAGCGACCAATCAGGATCCAGGAGGCACATACACGCTGTGGATCAGCCCAGTGGTCCCCAACCTTTCTTACCTCACGGACCGGTTTCATGTCAGACAATATTTCGCGGACCGGTCGAGAAGGTCCGACGGGGGGGTAGTAGTCGTCGTTGCGGGCGGAACGACCGACGGGGAGGGGGGGAGTAGTCGCGCGCTCTGTGTTCGCTGGTCGTGCACGGTAAAAGGACAAGAAAAACGCCTGGTGACGCGAAGATTAGAGTTCTCAATGTGAAAAAAAACATGCTGTATAGGCTATTTATGATGACATAGGTAGTACATAGGCTAAGTGTTAAATTCAACATATTTTTTCAGGCAGTGAGAGGACAGGCAATGATGCAGAGCAGAGAGCACAGATGCAGAGAGGAGAAGCACAGAGGAGCCATGAACGTGTTCTGGGGTTCATGGCTCCTCTGTGCAAGGCAGGACCTGACGTGGAGGACAAGGAGGCCCTCTGGGCACTACTATAAAAAGGAGACTCCATATGTAGATAGTTCTTAATCTGCAATTGTGTTGTTGTGTTGTGTTGACATACTTTTCTTTACTGTTTTCTTAGATTTAATAAACTACAAACTACTAACACATTTATTCATTGTCATTGATTGTATATGACTTTTACTGATAACATAATGTAATATAGCCAGGACAGCCTTACTAGAGTTGCGACGTTTTGTGTTGCGTTGCTTCGCATCGCGTCGAGGTCTGTATGATCACAAAATTCAGAGTTTACCCACCTCTAATTTTACCACTACAGCACTGGCCGTGACTACAGTGTGTAAATGTTAGTTACTGATGGGCAGGTGGCACTGTGTGTGGTAGCTCACATGTAGTGCTTTGAGTGATCGGAAGACTAGAAAAGCGCTGTGCAGTTCATTTACCTGCCATGAACAGTTGCCCACAAGTCATGACAATATAAACCAAAACAAATGACCTATTATTTAAACTGCAAAAACAAATAATTAAACCAAACTAATGACTAAATCTTCTCTAAATAAGCAAATATCTAGAATAATTTAACAATACTACTTATGATTAAAAATACAAAATACTAATAATATCATATAATAATAGCTATTACACACAAAAAAAACATGCTGTATAGGCTATTTATGATGACATAGGTAGTACATAGGCTAAGTGTTAAATTCAACATATTTTTTCAGGCAGTGAGAGGACAGGCAATGATGCAGAGCAGAGAGCACAGATGCAGAGAGGAGAAGCACAGAGGAGCCATGAACGTGTTCTGGGGTTCATGGCTCCTCATTTGACAAAAATACTGGCTTTCTTTACCCAGTTGTTGATGTTTGATTTTGTTTTATGTTAAATAATGTTTTTTTAATGTTTGTATGCTATCTGTAGGTAACATGGTGTAATTTTGAAAACTTTGCAAACTAGTAAATGTATATTTGTAAGATTGACAATACTATTAATCTATAATCTCTTTTGTCTTGTTCTTCCTGGACACAGGGTTTGAGGTGTACAGTCGCAACAAGTTAGTAAATTTTACTCTTCCTTATTCTTACTATTGTCATTGCTGTTATGTGTTATTTCACCGGCACATTACAGGTTTGGAGTATGGGCGGTTGAATTACATTATGAGCCACATTTAGTCATCAATTTAATAATTCTTCAAGATGTGAACATGAGAGTAAAAGTTTTCCTAGCTCCTTGCCGTGCAACATATGCCTGTCATGTTACAGGTAACTGTATGGATGAGGGTTGGCTGAGTGTTTATAACTACACTCCCAGCGGTCCAGAGGGGCTCCAGGTGAGCATCGAGACCAGGCAGGACGAGACGGGACACCTGCATCCTGTGCTGGTTGCTAACTGGAATATAAGGGATGATGGTAAGTTAATTGGCCATCTCAGATGTTACCTTTTAAAAATGCAATTATTTCGGAAACAAGGAAAAAGTCCATTTAATGACTGGTGCATTTCAGATGAAGACTAAGTTTATCTTCATTTGATGGTATGTAGTAAAGACATGTGCTTTATCTCCTCAGGCAGTGTAGGTTACCTGACAGCCAGCGAGCTTCATGTTCTGGTAATGTCCACCAACCAGAACCTGTGTGTCCGATATTCCTTCGAAGAGAAACTCTTAATGAGAAGTCCGACAGGGGAAAAGGTGGGTGGCTTACCACAAAATTATAGTGCCTTTTATATAACATTTGAGCCTTATGATATAATATATTTGTTCACATGAAGGGAGCCACTATTTAATGTTATTGTATGATTGTATAATCGGATGACTCATAACTTGTTTTTGTCCTGCTGATATTATCATAGTTCACAACATCAGAACTGGACCTGATCTCGGGCACAGCTTTTTCATTCAACAATTTTACCTGCTTAAGTCCTTTCTGGGGGCATTTACTATTAGGATTTAGCAAAGAGGTGGTGCTAATCTACATAATGAAACTGTTTATATGTTTCTCTACATGAAACCCATGATGGAAAGCTGAGATATTTCTGAAAATTATTAAGCAGACTTAACTGGATCTGCAATGCTTTATTTGATGTAATTGTATGGACCCTGTTACCAATGAAAATCAAAATGTCTCTTACAGTAATAGTGATAATGCATTTTGACTGGATAAGTCTCAATTTGGCAATTCCAGCGTCGCCAGCTTCAATTTTGACCGCTGCCATCTTCACTTTTTGCAACCAGTGAACAAAAGCAACCATATTGAGGGGTGACGCAGAGATGCCGTTTAGTATACTCTGGTATTAACCTGTCAATCACAAGGTAACCCCGCCCTAAAGCTTACCCTCTTTTATGGTCTTTGACTAATTTCACTTGATGTTGTTTTGAAGAAAACTTGAAACTAGAGAGAGAGACCATGAACTCATTTTAAGAGCGAAGTAGAGTCATTTTCTCATAAACTTCCATTTGATTCTTTTTTTCTTTGGAACCAGGACCCTCCCCCCGCTGCACATTAGGGAAAATGCAAGACATTTATCTTTTAGCTTCACTCTTCTTCAGTTTTACCTCAATCGGCCAGTTAAGAGTAGCCTAGTTTGTGAGGACAAAGCGAGCAGAGACAGTGACAAAGGTAATAAAAGGTTTTTCCAGAAAGTGTGAGTCACTGCCTCAAGCATGCCCCCAAACTAGCCCCCAAAATAAATACTATGCAGTTTGCTGCAGCTAAATAAAAAATAAAGACAAGATAATAACTTTTGTATATATTCATGTAGAGCTCAGTAACACTGTTTGTAAATTACAAACAGACAACAATGTTCTGCTCTTTCAGTGGTCGTTGTCAGCTAACATGCTGGTGGACCCTGGTCAGACGTACCATGTCTCTGTCTTCAACATCCCCAAAACGGAGGTTGGCTACAGCACCTATGACGTCAGCACTGATGTCACCACTCCTGGTGAGCTGAAGTAAAACCAGTAGTTGTTTATATTAACAAGAATTTATATATGTATGGTCTGTTCATGCTTTTATTTTATTGAGTTTTGATATCTGTTGAACAAATGTTGTTTGTGTGTCTCTGTAAGTTTGGATCATAAGTGAAATAGTTGACTGGACTATAAAGGATGAATACTGAAAAGAGAAGTGGCAGAAAAGGTCATATAAGAAGCTTTGAAAATTCTAGGTGATCTGAGGTATCATTTATAAAACAATGTGTAGGATCCACATTAAATGTTTGTATGCATGTTGGTGATTTAAATCTGCAAACCCATGATATCATGAATTGTGTAGCCACTAAGTTGCTTAAAATGGCTTTATCTTTAAATTTGGCAGTAAGAAATTTCCTTCTTGTCAGAATTCGCAGAACGTCTCTGCCTTTTCCCCACCTATTTCGTTCTTATACCAGCTCCTTATAACTCATTCAGCATACCACAAATCCAGGAGTACTCACCACTGCCTAGTGTAGATGGTCATCACATGCCTATCACATAGTTGGTGAGGGGAGGAGAAAGGTGGTTTCAGTGGAAAAACTCTGGAGGCAGAGTGTTTGGTAACAATTTTTTCCAATTGGAGGTTTGTATTTTATTACATAAACCCACAAATATTGTACATAATACAGTGGTTTATAAAGCATATTCAGTTTTCTGTTTTTCTATTTTGTTTGAATCGTATCCAGCTTTCTGATATAACACATTTTCTTTTTTTTCTATATTAATTCAACTGTAGTGTTTCAAAGAATCTATATTAATTCTTCCAACTAATGGTTTTTAAAGTATATCCAATTTTCTGGCCTTTGTGTATTCCTTCTTTCTAATCTTTTGAGTTCTGGTGTTTAGACTCTCGTAACCGGCCGGGGACTTGTTTGGGTTTAGACCTGTCAAGACAAGCATTCTCTTTTTTGTGTTGTACCACGGGACTCGGTTCTGGAAAATATGTTATTAGGCAAAAACCTCGGGCCACGAAGGCCCTGATGAAACTGTAGTGTTTATTAGAATTCTGCCAAATGAATTTACTTTTTGGCAGCCTTATCATATCCCAAAACTGACTAAATCTTGCCTGCATATAAGGACTGGTGAAAAATTTGATATTTTAGTTTTCTGTATAGCAGCCCCTAGCGCTGACTTTAATTTTGAAAGACCCCTCCCTTCAGCCCGAATGTCTGATTGAATTGAAACTTAACATAACGCTCTGTAAAGAATTGAGACACTACTCCAAGTTTTTCTCAATTTAGCATTAACATACATGGCAGCCATTACGTTCCAGTTTTTTTTAACACCAAAACAGGGACACCTGATTTTACTTTTTGAAAAGAACTCTCCACTCAACGGGTTGACCTCCAACTCATTCAAACGTAAAGTGCACAGCGAGAACTGTTAGAAAAAAGCTCATAGGGGCGGGGCTAAGGCCCTTTATCAATGAGAAACAACGAAATGCGGGCTTAGGTTTGCAAAAGACCATAAAGATTGGACCATAGAGGGCTGGAATAGGTTTGACTATTCTAATGAGTTTTTGAGCTTTGCCCAACACCTGGTCATATAATGGTTCCCCAACTATGAGGAGTGTCTTTTTTCCAGCAGAACATGGTTCCCCAACTCTGAGGAGTGGTTTTTCACAGACCCGGCACACAGTGATTTTATAGAGTTTTTACAGAAAAACGACTGTAAAAAGTTATTTTCCGTAAAATTAGGATATTTTTTTACGATGCACTTACTAAAACTCATGGCCTGAGGATGTCAACACATTGTCCGACAGTTGCGTTAGCTCAAGGATTACCTGTTGTACCTGATAGCCGAATACGGTATATTTGTTGACCTATGTTTGCTGATGGCATAAAAAGTGTACACGTCTTTCAGACCCAGTATTGTAAACGATTATAAATGAGTCCCCTCATACCGGCAAACAAAAGATTCCAATGTGAGATGACTAATACAAGTCTTAGCCAATTTGCAAATCATTCTATTTTTCAGTGCAATAAAGCAAAATTGGTGCAACCTGTATAATCTTCACTTTTCTGAATTCTGGTTCCTCTTGATTTATCCATAATCCTCTGGTTTACACAGGTTGTCCAGATCCCAAAATGCAGATGACCAAGTTTTGCATTGAGAGAGGTTTGTCCATGACATTATCAAACCAAGTAAGAGTGAGTAAATAACATAGACCACTTGACACATAACCCACTGCCTTGTCACCTAAACTGTAGGAAGTCTGTGGCAGCCGAACATCAGTCTGACTGTGGACAGTGAAAAATCCGCTCTGGATGTCAGCTTCGCTCCTGACACGCTCTGTGAGGAATACATCATCATTGTTCGCTGCTCGACTTACCAAGATCTTACCAAGCGCACACACAAGGTGAGGTCACATCATGCTGGATATTTCTCTGTCTTAGAGTATCATCAGCTAGAGTCTCCCATAGAAGATGAAGTGATTTGACCAACAACATTACTGCATGTGCTTATTACAACGTACTATGTTTTGTACCTGAGCAACTATTTCTGCAAACCACTTGACTGTACTGTCTCCTCGTAGAGACATCAGTTGCATTCGGAGTCTGACGTCAGCACCTATGTCCTCTATTTGGACTACAGGGTACCTAGTGTGCCCATCGTTTTGATAAAATTCACATGTATTAAAACTGTATTGCCAATAACTAGATTATTGTAAAATAAAAAAAGAGGTTCTCGACACACTCTTCTTTTACATTACATTACAGGTCATTTAGCAGACGCTTTTATCCAAAGCGACTTACATTACATTTTTAACCCATGGCTTTTACATCTTTGCCTGGGGAGCAATTAGGGGTTAGGTGTCTTGCTCAGGGACACTTCGACATGGGACATGGGGCAGCCAGGACTCGAACTACCAAGCTTGTGGTTGCCAGCGCACCCCTCTCGACCCCTACACCACGACGACCCCTCTTCTTCAAAGCACACACCAAGTTGCTCAGCAGTAGAATGCCATACTTAATGGGAAGTTAGAAGGAACATAAGACTGTATAATAGTAGTAACAATACGATAAACATGAACTGAAATAGAATATGGAAAAATAATAAATATAGTCAAAAATATTAAAACAAGTATACGTATATTTGCAGCATTCACATACATTCATACATTTCTGAACACTATGCACTATGCATGGTTGGCCCAACCTTTGGTAGCGTTTCAGGTTTTAACAGAATGTAACTGAAAATCTGAAAACAAAAAAAAATGAAATCAAAGTTTTCACTTATTTATGACTTCATAATCGCAGACAAAATTTGAGTTTCTTGATCTTGGAAATCCTGGACTTTCCCCAGCTCCGTAATTTATTTATACCTACAATGGCCCTCATATGACAACTTCCCTCAACCTTATCACATCTGTTGCAATTATGTGGTGCTAAACTAAACTGACATTTATTTCCTCAATAGACATTTGTTGAGATTCACATGCTCTAGTGTTATAGTCAAACATTTGAATGGATAATTGTCATCGTATAATGTCTTCTTCCTGTGTAATGCTCCCTAAATGCTCAATTCTCTCCGTTATTAAACTTCCAGGCTAAGACTCTTAATGTAACATTCCATCTGGATGAATGTCCAAAATCTTGCTGCCAGTTTGATGTTGAGGTAAAATATTTTTTTACGAATATGTTTATATTTTGTTGTATAATATTTAATATATATATATTTTATATACAGTGCATCCGGAAAGTATTCACAGCGCTTCACTTTTTCCACATTTTGTTATGTTACAGCCTTATTCCAAAATGGATTAAATTCATTATTTTCCTCAACATTCTACACACAACAACCCGTAATGACAAAGTGAAAACTGTTTTTTGCAAATTTTGCAAATCTGTTAAAAATAAAGAACGGAAACATAACATGTACATACGTATTCACAGCCTTTGCCATGACACTCAAAATTTAGCTCAGGTGCATCCTGTTTCCACTGATCATCCTTGAGATGTTTCTACAACTTGATTGGAGTCCATCTGTGCTAAATTCAGTTGATTGGACATGATTGAGAAAGGCACACACCTGTCTATATAAGCTATCACAGTTGACAGTGCATATCAGAGCATAAACCAAGCCATGAAGTCCAAGGAATTATCTGTAGACCTCCGAGACACAATTGTATCAAGGCACAGATCTGGCAAAGGGTACAGAAAGATTTCTGCAGCATTGAAAGTCCCAATGAGCACAGTGGCCTGTTTGGTAGAGTGGCCAGACGGAAGCCACTCCTCAGTAAAAAGCACATGACCGCCCGCCTGGAGTTTGCCTAAAAGCACCTGAAGGACTCTCAGACCATGAGAAACAAAATTCTCTGGTCTGATGAAACAAAGATTGAACTCTTTGGCCTGAATGCCAAGCGTCATGTCTGGAGGAAACCAGGCACTGCTCATCACCTGGCCAATACCATTCCTAAAGTGAAGCATGGTGGTGGCAGCATCATGCTGTGGGGATGTTTTTCAGCGGGAGGAACTGGGAAACTAGTCAGGATTGAGGGAAAGATGAATGCAGCAATGTAGAGAGACATCCTCGATGAAAACATGCTCCAAAGCGCTCTGGACCTCAGACCGGGGTGACGGTTCATCTTCCAACAGGACAACGACCCGCACACAGCCAAGATAACAAAGGAGTGGCTTCGGCACAACTCTGTGAATGTCCTTGAGTGGCCCAGCCAGAGCCCTGACTTGAACCCGATTTGAACATCTCTGGAGAGATCTGAAAATGGCTGTGCACCGACGCTCCCCATCCAACCTGATGGAACTTGAGAGGTTCTGCAAAGAAGAATGGGAGAAACTGCCCAGAAATAGGTGTGCCACGCTTGTGGAATCATACCCAAGTCTTGAGGCTGTAATTGCTGCCAAAGGTGCTTCAACAAAGTATTGAGCAAAGGCTGTGAATACTTACACATGTACGTATTCATAACATGTACATGTTATGTTTTCATTCTTTTATTTTTAACAGATTTGCAAAAATTTGCAAAAAACAGTTTTCACTTTGTCATTATAGGTTGTTGTGTGTAGAATGTTGAGCAAAATAATTAATTTAATCCATTTTGGAATAAGGCTGTAACATAACAAAATGTGGAAAAAGTGAAGCGCTGTGAATACTTTCCGCATGCACTGCATTCTCTCTGATCCCATTTGTTGACATGACTTTTTTTCTTTGCAGATCAAACCTCTTTTCCCACAATGTGGCCAGGACTGTGCCCGTCAAAGGAGAACACTATATATTTGTCCTGGTATGTTGGCTCCTAGCCCTTATATTGATATTTAATTAATTAATATCTTTAAGAACTGGCTTCACCTGGCCACTCTTCCATAAAGCTCAGCTCTGTGAGATATACTGTTGAGTCTTTTGATCTCTTTGTTTTATCTCTGATCCTCTTTGCTTTCCGCAAGACTTTTTCCTCTCATCAGAGGTGTTGGGGTGCCCTATTCCTTAGATTTTGTAATAATGGATTTAATGCTGCTCCACTGGCTTAACTTGCACACAGGTGTGACTTCTGAAGGTAGTTATTGGCACAAGATCCTACAGTTTTTCTTTCAATTTAATTTATATTGTACGGCCCAAAATCACAAATGCCAAATTTTCCTCAGGAATTCTACAATCTGTATGCATGCAACATCCTTTTCATCTCCCCTCCATAATTTGTTTTTATTTTGTGACAATCCATTACACACAATCCAAAGGCACAGTAAGTATTTATTGATTTCAGTTGGGAAACCTGTTTTTTCAGCAACAAAGAAAGAATAAGTAGAAGTTAGGAACAGGCAGCCACACCTGCTTTCCACAGTATTTGGCAATTTGATGGAAAATGGTTGGAACTCCACCTGTAACGCAACCCGCCCTCCCCACACTAACTGTATGATGCTATTATCAAGCCCTAAATTTTAAGGGCACAAAGTGTTTTTTTCTCAAGATATGTGTTTCCTCAAATGCTTTTTCTCTGTAGCTCGTCCTTGTTACTTTGAATGTGAGGAGGCCGAGTCGTATGTGTGTGTGAAATTAGGAAACAATTTAGGGAGAAAGGCCTAGTGGCCATTTTGACACGCAGTGTAAAGACCGGTGTTTTTGATAAAGTAAATTATTCTATTTTGTGTGTCACAGCCATACTAAATGAATGTTAATGAATTCCATAGTGTGTTAACGCTGCAATGTTGTGTCAAGCTCTCTGCTGCCCTAAAATTTGGATCAAAACAAGTTAGCACCACACAAAGCAGAATAGTTGAGGCTGATGGGGAAAGTACTTTTTTTTGGTCATAAACAAAACTATTGGCTTTTCTGGCTGCTATTTCTTCCCGGTTCAAGTCTAGCCCAAAATCGCAAATTACAAATTTGCCTCAGAGGGCTTTACAGTCTGTACACATGTGACATCCTCTGTCCCGAAACCCTCACATCGGCACAGGAACTCCCCCCAAAAATGAAAAACCCTTTAATGGGGAAGGAAGGGAAGAAACCTTAGGGAGCGGAGGGATCCCTCTCTTGGGATAAACCGACTACAATGGATCATGTGTACAGAATGAACCATGTAAAAGATGTACAATACATTCATTCCTATAACAGAAATTACTCAATGATTGCGAGATGTAAGCCAGGCAGCACCCAGCAATGGGATAGTAGAATAAGGCTAAGGCTATGGGTTAGTATAAAACAAGGAATAAAGTTAAAAATGTTAAATATTAAAAAGTTAAAGAAAAGTATTAAGCATAAAGTGCAGTAACAGACAAGAGACAAAGTGATGAATTGCAGTTAAAGTGGCATGTGCAGTATGAGGGGAGTGACCGGTGGAGTGTTATAGTCAAGCAGTGGGGGACCGGGCTCTGTTGATGAGCCCGACTGCCGACGGGAAGAAACTGTTCGTGTGGCGGGAGGTCGTAGTCCTGATGGACCTCAGCCTCCTGCCAGATGGAGGGGCACAAACAGTTTTTGTCCGGGGTGGGAGGGGTCGGCCGCGATCTTTTTAGCTCGCTTCAGAGACCTGGAAGCGAACAAGTCCTGCAGGGACGGCAGATTGCAGCCGATCACCCTCTCTGCAGAGCGGATGACCCGCTGAAGCCTGCGCTTGTCCTTGGCTGTGGCTGCAGCGTACCAGACGGTGATGGAGGAGCAGAGGATGGACTCGATGATGGCCGTGTAGAAGTGGACCATCATCGTCTTTGGCAGGTTGAGTTTCTTCAGCTGCCTCAGGAAGAACAACCTCTGCTGAGCCTTCTTGGTGATGGAGCTGATGTTCAGCTCCCACTTGAGGTCCTGGGTGATGATGGAGCCCAGGAAACGGAAGGAATCCACAATAGTGACGGGGGAGTCACACAGGGTGATTGGGGAGGGTGGGGCTCTGTTCCGCCGTAAATCCACAACCATCTCCACTGTCTTTAGAGCGTTGAGCTCCAGGTTGTTCTGGCTGCACCACGACACCAGATGGTGAGACTCCCACCTGTAGGCGGACTCGTCCCCACCAGAGATTAGTCCAATGAGGGTGGTTTCATTCCGCAAACTTCAGGAGCTTGACGGACTGGTGGCTGGAGGTGCAGCTGATGGGTTGTACAGGGAGAAGAGCAGAGGGTAGAGAACGCAGCCTTGGGGGAACCGGTGCGGATGGTCCGAGAGGCTGAGACATGTGTTTCCCCATCTTCACGTGCTGCTTCCTGTCAACAGGAAGTCTGTGATCCACTTGCAGGTGGAGTCGGCACGTGCAGCTGGGAGAGTTTGTCCTGCAGCAGGGACGGATGATAGTGTTGAAAGCAGAGCTGAAGTCCACAAACAGGATCCTGGCGTAGGTTCCTGGGGAGTCCAGATGCTGGAGGATGTAGTGGAGGGCCATGTTGACAGCACGTCTACAGACCTGTTGGCTCTGTAGGCGAACTGCAGGGGGTCCTGTGATCCTGGGCTTCTTGGGGACAGGGATGATGGTGGAGGCCTTGAAGCAGGCTGGTACGTGGCATGTCTCCAGGGAGGTGTTGAAGATGTCAGTGAACACCGAAGACAGCTGGTCAGCACAATGCTTCAGGGAGTGAGGGGAAACGGAGTCCGGACCGGCTGCCGGACCGGCTGCCTTACCTGAACCTTACCTGAGCCTGAACCATTATCCACGTTTTTCTGCATCATTTTGAGACCGGAAGTTCCTGATTTTCTATATATTCCGTAGATGAAAAAAGGCAGTCCTTGAAGTCTTCTTTATGTGAGAGTTGAAGGACCTATTCTCGTCGAAAAGAACTCCAAGATTCTTGGTGCTGCTGGATACCAGAGCAATTCCATCCAGAGAAACTGTATCACGTGACAGCTGACCTCGATCATGATAACTTCTGTTTTTTCCGAGTTTAGCATCAGGAAGTTGTAGGTCATCCAAGTTTTGATGTCTCCAAGACATTCTTGAAATATAACAAGCTGGTCGGTCTTTTCTGGCTTGATCGACAGATATGTTTGAGTATCGTCTGCATAACAATGGAAGTTTATGCAGTTTGCAGTTTGCATGTGCCGTTTACAAGCACAAACTGGGATCGATCCGATAAATAGGATTTAAACCAGCTGAGAGCAGTTCCTTTAATACCAATCAAATGTTCTAGTCTAGGGAAGCAGGATACAATGATCGATGGTATCAAATCCGGCACTGAGGTCCAGCAAGACCAGACAAGAAAAGAGATGAGTCTTGGTCCGATGCAAGAAGAAGATAATTCGTCATTTTCACCAGTGCTTTTTCTGTGCTATGATGCAATGCTCGAAATCGTGACTGGAAACCCTCGAACAAAGCATTCTTTTGTGGAAAGTCACATAATTGTTTTGCGACGGATTTCTCAAGGATCTTCGAGAGGAAGGGAAAATTAGAGATAGGTCTGTAGTAAGCCAACACCTCTGGAGCAAGAGTAGGTTTCTTAAGAGGTTTAATTACAGCTACCTTGAAGGACTGTGGTACATGTCCTGTAACAAAGAAAGATTCATAATATCCAGTAAAGACGTGCCAAACTTAAATTTCAATACAATTTTTCTTTGATAGTCAGAATCTTATCAAATGTGTTCTGATTTCCCCTGCAGAGCCAACAGAAGCCCCTAATGGCCCGGTGTACACATTTTTCATCCTGGGAGTGATGTTTCTGTGTGGGGTCATAGCAGTTGTAATGTACGTCCTCTGCCGAAAGCAAGGTTAGTTCAATACATATTCTGTTTGATCTATTCTAACTACAAAATATATAAAGATTCAATGAGAAACCTTGATTGATACGTTGCAGTAGAATATGTTGCTGAGGCATATCTTTGTTCATATGTATAGCATCTTAAAATTAAAACTATCTTAAAATGACTCTTAATTGGACGATGGCATTCATCTGTTCTGTCATGCACTTTCAGGCAAAACTGGTGTTACTGCAACACCTGTGGTAGGTGAGATATCACAGGAGGGGCAAGTTAAACAGCCTCCCAAAGTGCTGGTCATCTACTCCCAGGACCACCGTCTCTACAGCGACGTAGTATTAAAGCTCTGCACCTTCCTTCAGGCCAAGTGTGGCACCAAGGTGCTAGTGGACTTGTTGGACTCCACCTCGGTTGGCATGGTGGGGCGCCTTCGCTGGCTTGAGTGGCAACGTCAACAGCTAAAAAATCCATCTGACAAAATCCTTGTACTGTGCTCACAAGGCGTTCAGGCAAAGTGGAAGGCCATGTGTGGTCAAGGCCGTGTGACTCTGAGGGAAGATGTTCTCTCCCCTACTGACGACATGCTCACTCCTTTTCTCAACCTCTTCGTACCAGACATGCATCAGGCCGGCATGCAGGGCAAGTACATGGTGGCCTACTTTGACGACCTCAGCGGGGAACAAGACGTGCCATCAGTTTTTGACATCCTAGTCAAATACAAGCTCATGAAGCATTTCGAAGAACTGTACTTCCGCATCCTAGACATTGAGAAGTATCAGCCAGGTCAGGTCAACCAGATCAAGGGCATTGGTGGGGACGAATATTTCAACTGTCCATCAGGTGGAGCACTGAAGAAGGCAATCGAAGCCTTCCAGGCCTATCAGTTGGAAAATCCTGACTGGTTCAAAAAGGAGTGTGTAAACAATGAGGAGGAGGTCATGACTGAGGCTAACCGACTCATAGGCCAGCTGCAGATCCCTCCTGTTTTAGAGTGTGTTCCTCTTATAAGAGATCGACTTCCTCTCTACATCCATGAGATAGAAATCAATGACAATGGTGATAGTCTTTTTGTGCTTACACCTAAACTCAACCCAAAAAACGAACTGTCGTCAGGAGCAGAACTTACACCAGTAGTCAACCTTAAGCACAAACATCAGTATCTGTCAAATCGCAATGAGGTGTTGACGTATCACGTCAATCCTCACAGCCCCAGGTCAGAATCTGTCTACATAGTTGAGCCGGTTTTGAACAACCTGCAACCACCAAGACAGAACTGGCTATCCCTGCAGGCAGAACCCTTTGATCAAATTCCCACAGAGGATGAGGAACAGGATTCCATGCTACCGATGGGTCAACTCTCTGCTTGTTCAGAGAAGAAAAGTTCAGCCCCACAGGCCTCAGTGAACTTAAAACCTCAAGAATTCTTGTGCGCCAGTATTCAGAGAGAATCCTTCCATCAATCCGAGGTCGGAAACATTGAGATGGAGGAGGACGAGGTTCTGGAGCCCAGTAGAAAGACCCCCTGCAGCGGGTCTGATCAAGGCTACATCTCAAAAATGTCCTCCCAGCATGAACACCCAGTCAAAAATGATCCATTGGTGGCCCTGCGAAGACTGCAAGAGGAGCTGTTTAATAAGAATATTGGATAATCTGAGCAGAATGGATGCTGACAGTCCAGAAATAGGTACTAAACCTTGAGTGAGTGCCTGAATTTAGCAGGGTGTAAAAGCTTTAACAGGAACTGTGGCCAGAACTGTAAGACTCCAATAACAATTTTGGGGTATAATAACTCCTTTTATTATTTTTGTATTATTATTTTTATTTATTCAAAACATGATTGTGTTGAATCGATAAGGCAAGATGTATTCATACACACTCTTCCGGCCCCATCCCACAGGGGGCCCTGAAGTCCACTTTAAAGGCGCGGATGGCTCCGAAGAAGGGCCTTCATCAACTGTAAGATCTTGAATTCACCCAGCCCTAACCCTAGAGCTGCCCGAACTCCATGTCTGATTATCAACTTGCTATTCTTGCCATCACACAGATTTGACACCACACTTCCCTGGGCAGCTGTGTGTGATTAAATTTGAGTTGCTAAGCTAACTACTATATCACTGGCCAAGTAGTCTGGCCAAACTTAAGTATGATTTGTTTTCTTGTTTCTGTCATTTTGGATTTAATTTAATAAACAAACTCAAAATATGAACAGACCCTTTACCTCCAATAGGATTGCAAAGCTACTACTTTGTCTGCTCACATTGGACTGAGGACAGACTGTGATGCTACAGTGACTCTCTTTTGCCTCTCTTGGTACACGTAGTATTACAGGATAGAAAGCTCTGCGGCTAGCTGGTGAGCATGCTTAACTCAGTAGATATTGTGGTGGAAATTTGTGGATTTAGCCCTTGTGAGAAATCAAAAGTATCCCAAACTTTGTGATTAAGTATTTATTACTAACTAGAATATAGAAAAATGATAAAGAATACAGAAATCATCAGCACAAGCCCTAAGCACAGACAGAAGTCAAATGACTACAATTCAGCTGAAAAAGGACAGAATGTTCCTTCCCCCAAAAGGAGCAGGAAGATCTGACAAAGTTTCTAGGGGGGACCAGGAGCTTTTATACATCTCTGAAGGTTCGAGGAATGGTAACCAGATGTTTTGGGAACCTCCGCGACCCTCTCTTAGTGGGACCTAGTCAATCATTTTGACAGACAGGAATAGGAGAAAGGTAAATAGAAGAACATGATATGGTCTGTCCAGGCCCCATATGGATTTCATCGTGGACTAGGTCAGGTCACGAGTTTCCCAAGAAAGGTCACATACGAGTTCTTGAGACACTCACAATATGCACCTCAACAAATTCTCCCCCGACAGATATCTCTTCACAACAGCATATAGATGTGATGGATATGATATCAAACCGTGCCTTTTTAAAACTTAAACTGCATTGCAAATGTAGTTGTGTAATGTGTTGTCTTCAACAATAGTCCTTTTATCTATTGGATATAGGTCATATAATAGTAATGTGTATAAAGAAATCCTGAAATATAATGCAAATCACGTTGTACAAATCCTCAGGTTTATTACATGTTTCAACCACATAATAGGTTAGTATATACAGTACATAGAATATATCAGTACGATATACACATGACATGGCTTTACAGCACAGTTGAAATCATATCTGTCAGCCATCTTCTTTCACTGTAAACATTTTTTAAGAAAAAAAAAGCCTGTATAAGACTAGATGTTGTTCAGATTGCACACGTTATGGTTTTCATTGCACGTAGGTTAAACATTTGAATCTGTATAGCATGATTGACTCAATTTCCTTGTCCATGTCCATGAAAGCCATTAGTTGTTTCAGTGTACCTAGCCACTGTGCCTGCCCATGCAGGTTAAATACCCACTATACTTTTGGTAGTTTTAATTTAAAGATAAATTACAACAATTGCCCTTGCTCGTGAGTTTGGTGAGTGGGTAGCTTCATGTGCAGATCCAAATAGTTGGACCTTCTTTCCAACAGCGTAGATAAGATACATATACCAACATTTAGCAGAATAATGGCACGAGGAAAACAAATAAATTAACTACAATATAACATTTGTTGTACTTTGGTAATATATGATAGGCCTCGAACAAGGGAAATAAAGAGAAACCTAGAAAACCGGGAGAATCAATGAAGCAGTGAACATGTATTTTGTGTATAGCAGAGAGAGGTCACGCATAATAACTGGCAATGTACATATAAGAATATCTATTCAGTTTATTTTTTTTATGCATTTTTTAGAGGGAAAATTTGCTCTGGAGATTGTGAATCTCCAAAAATGATCTGAACAAATTGTGATTAAATTCACCTCACTAAGTTAATTCAACTCCAAATGCATAGGCTCTAGAACCATTAGGACCCTTCTGAACCATAATGCACAATTGACTTTACAAACGTATTTTTCATAAAGTTTGATCTGCAATGTTTGTTTAATGTAACATTACCGGTACTATAAGCTTATGGAGAAGGTTGTTGTGGAGGGCAGTGACCATGCCATGATAAGTTGTTTGTACTGTTATTCAAACAAAGCTTCATCAGTTCACTGCTGAAAATAATGGTTTAGTGTGGAATGGCATCATTGTTTGTTTCCAGCAGTACCTGAACTATGCTTGCCTCCCATTTCAACTCAGCAGGATGTAAACTGCCACGAACATTCTGAAATGGTGGATTATAAACTAAAATTACATTTAATTATTCACATTTTTAAAGTCTGGTAATTTGGTCACAACCAAAGTCACACAAAAGAATTCAAATTGATCCAAATGCTGATCCAATTCAAAATGTGCTCGTAAGATGCAATGGTAAGACCATTACAAAAACAATTATAAGGATTTGGATTGAATAAGTACGACTAACTGTTCTCGATCTGCACTGTTACAGTTCCACACCCAAAACGTTTTAGTATGATACCAAAGAGGCTGCATGTCACAATCAAGTAGTTATGTTGTTTCAACAAAACCAATTATATTGATCATTTTTTCTTGTTGTTTTGTTTCACTATAACACTGCAAGCTTAATTTGGGAGACTCCCGTCAAAATATAATTAGAGAATGCAGTTTAATTGTACGGGAGCGGTGTTGAATACAGAGTTGTAAAAAAACAAACATATGTTGGGCAGGACAATCTTGCAGTCAACCTCCCATTCCAAATCCACCTAAACCGAACCTAATATCGCCATGACAATTTAGGAATGTGCTGAACAAATAAGATGCACCATCTTATTGAGTTAAAGCTTTTTGATTTGCAGGGTCAGATATTTCTAAAATCCAATATTCCACAAAATCCCCAACACAACAACAATATGGGCCGAGGTACATGGCTGTGGCTAAGCTGTTATTTCAGGACCATGAACAAAAATGTCAGTGCCATCCATAGTACAATGTACAGACCAAAATATAAATGTTTATCTCTTTAATGTTTATGATTTAGCCCTATTTATAATTAAATTGTATTAGTGTCTGTATGCAGCCAACAGCTGACTTTCAAATCAAATGAAGTTTAATTAAACAATAAAATAATATTTTGAAATTGAACTGGATGAATTATAAATACAAACTGTAATAACTGTTTTCTCATTTCACGTACAGGCTGCAAAAAAGAACAAACATAACAGAAATATTTTGAAAAATACTTAATTTTAAAAGGGGAATTTAACTGTCCTGCAGCTTTAAATTCAGTTTAGGTGTGAAATATTATGTTTGTTATCTTATAAGAGCAATGTGTATGCAGTGAGTTTTTCTGTGGTTATTAATTCACTTGTTTCAGCTCTGTTCCTCTTTGTTAACATTATTGTTGCTATGTGAATTTATGTGTCTTTTGTTTATTTTTCTGTGCCTTCATTTCAAATGTGAGTGGGTATGTTTGCTCAAAAGAGTTGTTAGGCTCATAGTGGTGCTTCTATTTGCTGCTTTTAACAATCGTCATGGTCACTGAATATATGAGTCACACTGGTTTTGAACTGTATGTGAGAAGAATTAGCGTTTAAAAGCATGTCGATGCTTGCTTCAAGGCTCTGGTTTTGAGAGCGAGAAAGACAAAGAGAGACCGGAAGAGAAAGGGAGCGCAGCAAGCCGTAAACAGCAGTTGTATATTTGTTTTTACAACTTTGGGGTAGCTTTATATTATAACACTAAATAACAGTTATTATTCTGTAGACTTTTAGTTGGAGTTACAACCTAATACAAACCTGTTTGCTGTGAGTTTACAGTGGAGCCCCGATAGCTTCTCATTTATCGCTGCAGACTTGTCCAAAAACTTAACGAGCGAGTAGCAAGCTGATTGGCAAACGTGTAAATAAGCCACCTAAAACATTGTGCAACAATGTACATGACAACATACAAAGCGTTTTTTTGTTTTGTAATCTTAGAGGTTTGAGACATTAAAAGAGTGATTTCAGAAACTACTGTGATGGTCATCTCTACAGCACATTCATTTGTTTTGTTTTTTTGAGAAAAATGGGTTTCCATTTGATATATCTCTATAGCCCCAAATTTCACCCGACAGTGTGTCGAAAAAGACCCATACCCTTTAAGTCTGCTGGACTGATTTGTATACTGGTTATCGCTTTTTGGCAAAGAAGAAATACTGTACGCTCATTAGTGAATAAATGTCTGTTTCCTTGTTCTTTGAGAAATTCAGGTCTTGCCGTCAAGGGACCATTAAATCTATTTTATTTACATTATGAATATTGGAGTTGCCAGAGATCTTTTGAGGGTCATGAACCCAGAAGTCAGAGAAATAGTAAAACAGGAGTAGAGCCCTAGTGAACCATAGGATTCTTAGAATTGCACTTTAAGTCCCAGCAAAACACAAAGTCCAGCCTTTGTCCTGCTTTCCCTGTCCTACCTTTTAAGGACGCCGTGGAACACGCAGACTGAACACATCAACACAAATCAACACAAGGTCCAAAGCATTGCTGTTTGTTTTCCCTTTGTTGTAGGCTATTGGAGGTGTTGGGTTTGACTTTAGCACCTGTAGAATACGCTGAGAGGGGAGTACTGTAAACCTTGAACAGATGATGCGTTTGCATTGGAAATCGGAAAATCCATACTACTGTTATGTAAAATGTCTTACTTCCAGTCAAAACCTCAGAAAAATTAGTTCACTCCCAGGTTTCAGAGCTGCGCTCATCTCACTTTTTTACAATAAAGCAACATACCCTGTAAAAACATTTTTTTAGTCTATGATAAATAATCCATAGATGTGTTTTTGAATCACATTCTATTTTATCAATCATGCTGCCAATGTTGTTGTTTAAAAACACACTAAGGCTGGATTATCACGCTGCTTCAGGGCAAAGGCCCTCGTATTTTCATCCAGTCATGGGACCTGTCTTTTAGAAATTATTACTATTATTATTATTACTATATTTTTCCAAGTTTTGTTTGAGAAATAATTTAGTTTAGTTTGAAATATAATTGCTTGAAATATAATTGCAAATATAATAAATTAAAGGTTAGGAAGTATTATGTTTCCTATGAGGCCTTTTCGCCCCAAGTCATGACTTACCCAGAGCCACTATCTGGAAGCAGGAGTGGGGTTTGCTATTCGGATTTCATACGGACTTTCCCTCTCCCTCTCGTCTCTGCTTTCCCGCTCGGGGCCCAGAGCTCTATGAATGAGTTACGGCCAGGGTGTTGACGTAACCGTGAGGACACATGTCGTTCTCGGACACGCAATGGGAGAACTGGGCCTGGTTGCTGCTTCCGGCCAGCCTCCGGGCCCCCCGCACCGCCACACATTGCTCTACCAGTTCCAGGAACTTACACACCAAGAAGAATATGTTTTTGAACATGAATACCGACACCGGCATCCTATAGACGAAGACCAAGAAACACCTGACCACAAGCAGGGGCGCGTTGACTACCAGGCCCCATGCAGAAGCGGGCCCATAGCCACCGGCAGCGGAGCTCCGACGCTGTCAGCTCATAAAGCCACATCACCGGCACCGCCAGAGCCGCGAAATACACAGAGACCACGGTGTACTTCAGATACACGGTGGGGATCTCTCTCATCAGCAGCATCTCCACTAGCGTGAAGCTGTCGAGCAGGTCCAAGCAGGTGCTCATGAAGCAGCTGTGGGAGTGGTGCCGCGTCGCCCCGTTTAGATCCTCGATGATGGAGTTGATGAGGCAGAAGAGCAGCGGCGCGGACAGCAGCACGATGATCTTGAAGCCGGTCACCCCGCACGGGACCTTAAGCTCAATCAGATCCAGGATGGAGGTCTCCAGGATGAGCACCACCTTTGGGGTGCAGGCGATGACATATATGAGCCATGCCAGGTAAGCGTAGGTGAACTCCCCGAGATTACAGCCGAAGATGGAACTCTTCTGGTGGAAGCCGCAAGCCCTCTCCCTCTTGCTCCACGCGTTCTTCATGAAAAAAATCCCCCAGCCCGAGATCACAACCAGATCCGTGGCGATCCATGAGCACCAGTACAAGTCAGTGAAGATGATGAGGTAAAAGTCCAGAATGCCCCCCTGGAAGACGAGAAGGAGGAAGCAGAGCGCCTTGTACAGCAGACTCCTCTTGGATGTATGCGCTAGCAGCGGAGCGGTCTGCATGAACTCCCCCGATGTCATGATGCAGGCTGCGGCCGCGTTGGAGAAGACAAGGGGCTGAATTCTGCAGCCTTCCTCGGGAAGGATGCTGCCGCTCGTGGACTGGGTGTCCCGCCTCCTGCTTAGCTGCCCGGCTTCCGGAGAAGAGGAGACGGGGGAATGTGGGCAATAGCTCGCTTTGGATCGGATCTGCCTTTGGAGTTTCGTCCCCAGTTTTAGCAATCATCGTATTCGTGCGGCTGCCTCCCTTCCTTTCCTTCCTTAGAGGTGGAGAGAGAGACATGCGCAAAAAAGTGTGGAGCACGGTGCGTGACTACAGCTGAATTATTTGCATGTATTTATTTAGTTCTTAATTGTTTAGTCTATCATACAACAAAGTAAATACATTAGTATCAATAAGAATCATTATAAAAATAAGTAATAGCAATGATAATACATGATAATCAGTTAAAACAAATCACAATACAAATGAGGCGGTTAAATTGTTGCTGAAGATGATGTTATGTTGCCTCCCGTGTGAGAGTCCTGTGCCAGACGCTTAATAAAATATCTCTTAAATGATGTCACCATTTTTGTTTTAATAGTAACTCACTCCTGGCATTTGCTACAGGTGTTTTTCACAACTTTTTTTGGAAGAAGGAAATAACGACCAGGTAATCAATCTCTAATAGTATGTATTTTCCCACGTGGATCCAAGCTGATGAGAAAAGTGGTTTACACTGATTTCAAAATGTAACTAATATATATTTGCAAGTGACGCAATGCATGCTATGAAATTACCTTTTTTTACCATATATATATAAATAAAAGAATATTCTCTCTAACACGTCATTATTCAACCATTCACACCCTACCATACACTGAGCCGCATGCCCACCAGGAACTAATCATCTAGCCATTGTCTAATCGCTCCTAAAAAAATAAAAACTCACTAACCGATCCAACTTCGGAAGTAACCGGGATATTTAATAAGCCTTATTCAAATGTCTAACAATACCTTATAACATCATTTCTTTGTTAACTTGTTATGCCTCAACCCGCCAACCCACATTTTGTAGTCATGCATGTAATTCAGCCTTTAAAATACATTCATACTCATATATTGCATTTCATTCACTACATTATTCAACATATACATAAACAGAATCATAACTGTACACACAGTGACAAGACAACAGAGAAACATATTTAGACTAAACCCAGTGGATTGATAATAAACTTTAATTTCAAGTTGAGATGGATGGCTGTGGAACATAGAAAACACACATTTCAGTATAAACATATGCATTCACATGGAGTTGAACAGGTTGAAACTGGCTACTAAAAGTCAGTAGAAGAACCTCTCAGCAGAAGAGAACCTGCAATTAACACTGAGAAAAGTCTCTCAGCTCTGGAATTCTCTACACTGCTGAAAGAGTTATTAGAGCGGACTCATAGCCTGGTTCCGGGGAAGGACTTGGTACCACAGGTATTTCTATATGCTCAGCTAACTTTACATTTCTTTATTTTCTTTTATTTGACAGTTGTGTGGACCCAGATCAAGGAAAAAGCATTTTTCATTCTAATGGCTTAAAGCTTTGTTGACTATTCTGAGGATAAAGAGAGAGTGAGAAGAGGAAGTTGAGGGCCACTCAGGTCTTACCCATGCCAAGTTCCAGGACTTCTTATATAATATATCAGGGTCCTAAATCTGCAATCTGTGTCACACACACACTCATAGTATGCATTACAGCAGAATGGGCCGGCTTCACAGCTGCCTGGCAGATAGGGGAGCACACTTTGTTTAGTATAGATTTCCGTCACAAGCGGCAGCATTGAAAACAGAAACATTTGTGGAATCAAATTAGTGTGCTCAATTCATTTTAGTGTTTTATCACTAAGAAAATTACTTTTAGTTGCTGAAATGAGTAAGTTACAACCCCCCCCCCAACCAAAAAAAACAGGGTCACGTGTCAAACAGCCACCAACGCTACATGAGTTCCATTGTCTGGGCTTTGATGGACAGTTTGTCTTTAATTACATTTGTCTTTTCAACTCATGACTGACTTTAGAACCATGAAGGGGGGGGGGCACGGTAAATACTTTTCAGTACAACATGAATGATTATGGTGAGTGTATTTAACATCAGCGCAGTATATTGCTATGAGTAACTAATAAGGGCAAAAAAGCACTTTTAAATCATGCTAAATCACAATTACAGTAAATTGCCAACTAAGTAAGAGTGCATCCTCAGTCTCAGAAGTACATATTAACACCTTGGTAGATGATTAACAAGTCAAACCCACACCCACAAAGAAACTTGACAATGTTTATTAGCAATATTTGAAGAAAGTTATAATTTGTTAAATCTTATATTGACTTAAATCTTATATTGACTGTCATTTTTTTCATTTTAACATGAATTGCACAAGATAGACCCACGAGGATAGCTGTCTAAGAAATGTTTAGCACGAGCACACTTGTTGGACTTTTTCTTCTTTTAAAAGTTCATTTATTTATGGCCTGCTACAAAGCACTGCCACAATACAGAGGGCGGGGAAAAAGCTACTGTCCATCACTCGCACAAGACAGTCCATTCTAGAGTCTAGTATACATAAAGGGGGTGTGGAGGTTTGTGGGCTGCGCTGCTATAGGTAAATCTCATAGAAATCGTCCAGCTCCTCATGAAACAAGTCCCATTCATCCTCTGAATCTGTCACCTCGTCGTCGGTTCCTGCAGCAAGAAGCATGAGAAGCATCTCGCTCAGCTCAAACGTCACCATCTCCTCGTCCTCGTTGTCAAATGAGTCGGTGCTTTCCCGTTCATCGAAGATGTCCCACAGCGGTGTTCGTCTTGAGTTCTGGTAGGATTAAGGGAGAGAGTTGTAGCCTCAAAGAAGAATGTATTAGAAGGACAATAAATGTCTGGTCTAAAAATGTATATAAAAAAGAAACAACAACGGACGTTAACCTTTTTAGCACTGGACATTTTTTAGGCCTCTCGTCGAAATTGCATTTACACACTAAAACTGGCATATTTATGAAAACTAAATGTTTATCTTGAAAATTCTTGGAGTCACAATGAAGGGAAACACTTATGAAAATGAAAACATCAGTACATAATACTTTTTTCTATCTCGGCCATTCCTCGGCCGGCTTCTAAGTTCCGCCTCTTGTTCAAATCCTCAGAGCCAATTGAATTTGAAGCACACATGTGGAATAGAGCGGCAGCTTTCTTAGCCAGTAAAAAGAGGATCCGTGTAGAGCGAGAACTGATGCTCTACTCTGAGGCTGAAGGGCAAAAGTCGCCTTCCCCCATTACATGATATCAGTCCATGAAAAGGAAGGAAATGCTTTGGAAGAGACACAGACGTCCGCTTAGTGTTCAGCATTAACCACCCAAACTGAAATTATGTGTTCTATCGTTGAAACGGCAAAGTTAAGATAATTTCATGATTGAAAAGTGATGTGATTTGAGTGTTTGCTGTTGGTTCTCCCCTAGCTTCCTCTAGGAAGGTTTGTCTGGGAGAAATGTTATTGTCGTCTTCAGTAGACCTGTTGCAAAATATCTGAAAATAAGAACGATCATTTTTGGTGCTGGAATATATTATATTCATTTTACATATAAATAAATTTCACCGACATTTTAGTCGGCCGCGCTGCCTCTGTTCTCGTCTGCTTTCTTTGTCAAAAACGGAGGCAGGGCTTAAGCAGCGTCTCCACAAACGCACCGAGCGGACACCGACAGTGGGAGGGAATGCTTAAACCCACTGTATCCACTATAGTCAAAATAGACCTGGTTTCGAAGCTGCAATCTTCAGCTCCGTTATGGGAACATTTTGGCTTTACGCCAAATGAGAGAGCCAATAGACGTGAACGAGCCAGTATGTTAACTTTGTTTAAAAACATTGGCAACGAAAAGAGGCAACACAACTAACCAAAAGTCTCACCTAAGTCACAACCATCTCATCCAGTCTTTCAAACTGAACTACTGTCGGTTCCTCCGGACTGCGGGTTTGTTTCTTTTGGCCGGGGGTGCCATTCTATCCCCCTTCCACCCGGTTCGGCCGATAGTTAGCGGGACCGAGATGACCGTTTCTCCCAGCAGCCATTTAGCCATGATAATGCACGACATAATTGGCCTACTACCCGTTGAAGGTCTCATTTAGTTATGTGGTTCTTGGAGATTTAAATAAATAAAAATAAAAAAGTCTGATTTGATAAACTTCCATAACACATCACATTGGTATTCTCAGTTTATTTATACGTTTGTTTGTTTGCATTTCATCAGTTAAATTTTCTCTACAAAAGCCACACTGAACATTTTAAGAGACGGCTTTTATTTTTCTGCTCATTCGATTAGTTCAGAAGACAAAGCGTTGTTGCTGTTGTCAAAATCAATCTGGGTAACGCTTGTAATTACTGATGAAATGGGCAGATCTGACAAGGGAGTATGAACTCTTACCCGATTTCTGCTGTTGGATCCGGTCTGTCTTCGCTGGGGTTGCGCTTCCTCCAGCCGTCCATCCGGAAAGGCATGCTTATAGAAGCAATTTGAGCCGAAAGGACAGGTTCCACGACCTTCATCAAAGTATCGACACGGTTTGGTCCTGGAGAAGACAAAAGCAAGCAACAGCAAGTTCAAAGATTACATTGTCAATATTTTGAAAAACACAAAAGGAAAATTCTGTCTTCATTTGAAAAGCCCGACTGAGTCAACGTCCATCTTCCAGAGTTGAGGTCGACACTGGACCATCCGCCCACTCCAGTTTTCCACTATTTCTGCAGAATCACCATCCAAGATTTGGTAGATGGACTGTACTTTTATTTCTCTTTTGTAGTCTTCTGACCACTCAAACCTCTCTAACACTACATCCTTATTCACCTATTGACACCCATTCATATTATGATTGGAAGAGCTGCCATAAATAGATACCTGCCCATCAACATCTAACATTCATAAAACTTAGCCCCAAATAACTCTTGTAGCATTGACTAAGTGTTTTTGAAACGTTGTCGGATTAAAAGCCAAGAAACTAGAAAAGAAAACTAAGCTTTAGCATTAGTGAAAGCTACAGTGGCAGCTGTAGTCCCTGTTTCTTTGACCAGCTGGTAGAAATAACGCCAGTCCAGCAAAGATAGGAAAAGTTTGTAAAAAAAAACAACTAAAACTAAACTAAGTGTAGGAAATGATCTGTGTACCCCATGCCATCCTTGTATTTCTGGATGAGTTTCTGCTTGTCCTCCTTATCCTCCACCCAGTACTCGCTTGGGATGACAAAGTTTGATGTGATTCGACACTCCGGACAAGATCTGCAAAAAAAAAAAAAAAAAAAAAAAAATCAAATTGTGGAAACAGTCCTTAGAAAAATAAAGTGATTTGTACTTATTTTATAAATAAAACCACTTTTTTTATAGTTGATATAGTAGGTGCTCCCCTTTGGCTACAATATATACTTAAAACCTTAAAACCAGAGCTCAACGATACCTCATCAGAGAAAGGACAAAACTATGTAAATAAATGTATGTGTAAAAACCATATGGTACAAACCATAAAACAATGCCATATTTATGACGAGATGGCGTTATATAGGTAAGCATAGCCTAGCAAAGATCAATCCAAACTCTATTGTGAAAACTTGAGTATTTTAAAATATATTTGATATCAGATTGGCATCATTGTGTACTTATTTTGGGATTCCTTTTATCCGTTTATTGCAACAAAATCCGATCAAAATAGTTTATTTTGGGTTCATGCAGCTGTACTATATCAGCAGACATGTGACTAAAACTACATTGAATGCAGGTCGATGGAATTCACTGCTTGCCTCTGGATTACATTATGAACCGAGAAAAAAACAGGCAAATAACGCGACAAACAAACAAAGGGAGCACGGAGCACGTTCTCCAACAGACTCCTTCAGCTCCGCTGTCACAAGGGCCGATACAGGAGATCATTTCTGCCCAGTGCAATAACAATAAATCATCTCTGGCCAAATAACGACAATAACAACCCTGTACTGCTGTGATGTTGCTGCTCTTCCTCTTCTCCTTTTACAAATTATTTTTATTGTGTCTTTTGAAGGTTATTCTTTTGTTTCAGTTTAGTTTACTTAATTTAATTTAATAATTTAATATTTTTTATTATATTGTACATGTGTATATAATGTGAATCTTTTTATTCTATTCTTCCCTGTACATGCTGCTGTGATAACAAAATTTCCCTCTTGAGAGATCAATAAAGTATCTATCTATCTATCAAAACAAATGATCCCATGATCAAATACAACAATTTGCTTTGCACTAGGTGTCCCTTTCAGTGAAGTAGCTGTGCAATAAATACCTTTTTTTTGGTCATAGGGTTTGAGGTTCTACAGATTTTTATATTTTCTCATCAGAAAATCTACCTGCGATACAGATTTAAACCATTTTACATTGAGGGATCGAACCAGTAAACACTTCCAAAACTGTGACTCACTTGATGATTTTGCTCTCAAACTGCTTGGCACTCCTCCACTTACGAATGCACTTTAGACAGTAGCAGTGGCTGCAGTTGGAGAGGATGCCAAATCGGCGCTCGCTTGGGTTGGCTTTCTCAAACACCACTTCCATACAAACACCACACATCATGTCTTTGCTGCGTTGGATGGCAAATGAAATCTCCATGTCCTTCTCATGGGCCTCGATGCATGCCTAAGAGATGGAACGGTTAAACCAGCACATCACAACCTGCAAGGTATGCATTAAACTGTGATCCTAGATAATGTAGCATAATAACTGTGAAAGGTTACCCATTCACAAAAGTGTGCCGCCCTGGGGCCGTACACTTATTTCACAAAGGGAGTGAACCTGGGAAGGAAGCGCGAAGAAATCTCCTCAAAACATAATGCAGTCAGATAAGATCCCCCTAAAAAATACTTACTAGCTGACACAGCAACTGGGATGTAGGTACATACGATGATGGGGAACAGACCATAATCTAGCAAACAAACATACTGCGGTGCTAATGCTAGCCAACGCTTGCTGAGGCCGGAGAGGCACCGTGTACGGCAAAAGGACAATAGGGACGGGTCAGAGGGTCAGAGGGACGCGCGCACATAATTAGGAGAGAAAATCCGGTCAATTTTCAAAATAACACATTTTTATTTTTCTCAAAACAGCCGATCAAATTTGGCCGATCAGATTTTTTTTTTGAAAAGCTTGTGATTGGCTGTCTCTCCATGTTATTAAATTTCATTGGCCCCCGTCTTCGGTGGCGGGTGGGTGAAACCACTGAGACAAAATGGCTTCGCCGGTCTGGCAATATTACATGGTGTCGGAAAAAGATAATAAATTTGCAGTTTGCAACGTCTGCTCAAAAGTAGTTCCCCCGTGGAGGAAGGGGTTTCAACACCACGAACCTCATACGGCATTTGAAAGCTTGTCACATCAAGGAATTTGAGGAGTTTACGAAGTTGGCGAGCGTTAAGGCAGATAAAGACAGAGAGCGTGCAACCTCTTCCCAAACGCCACTCACTCAGCTGACCGTAACAGAGACATTGAAACGACAGCAACCATACAGCAATGACAACAAGAGACGAAAGGAATTAAATGCAAAGGTAATGGAATTCATATGCCTTGATCAGCAGCCGATGTCTGTTGTGGAAGACGCCGGGTTCAAACGCCTTGTATCTTGCTTGGATCCACGCTATACGCTGCCGGGCCGAAAATACCTAACTGATGTTTGTCTGCCGGAATTATACCGAAATGTCTACACGCACATCGAGAGCCTTATGAATGACAACATCAGGGCAGTTAGCTTCACGAGTGACATTTGGAGTTAGAGTGTCTGTCCTGTGTCTATGCTGAGCCTAACTGCGCAGTTTATTAAGCAGCACGAGTCTTCCTCTCCGCACCTTGTACAAGTGTAGATAGCGAGCGACTTTTCAGCACAGCAGGACATATTTTAGATGAGAAGAGGAACAGGTTGACTCCTAAAAATGCTGAGATGCTTATATTTATCAAGGCAAATCTGCCAGTGATGCTGCTTAATCAGAAGTAAGGTTTGAATACTCTAGTATGCCCCCTCTCCGAGTGAGTTGAGTGAGTGAAGTATGTGAGTGAGTGAGACACTATACAGATAGACATACATGTTTTGTTTAATCACTGACTTCCTGTGCACCTTTAATCTTTATTCTGTCTTTTATCTCCTCCTATAAGCTCCAAGTTCTATTGAGAGCCTCTAGAGTGGAATGTTGCACATGTTATTCTATTGTTGTGATTTTCATTTAAAGATTTATATTTTTATTATTGTTTTAATATTTATTATTATTTACACATTTTATAGTAAGCGAGAGAGCTTTTCTACATTGGAATGTTGCACGTTCCCTGCAATAAAACGGATGGTTGTCAATTCATGATACTCTCTCGTCTCGTAATTTAAATACTTAAAATACAAAACCAATGTTGTTAAGAATAATTAATTTCATAAATAATGCTACACAATAAATAGAATGCTTAAATCGACACCGATAATACTTATCGGTGATCGGTATTATCGGATCGGCAGATACTGATTTCAGTGATCGGTGATCGGTGATCGGCACCAAAAAACCTGATCGGAGCATCTCTAATATATAAGCTTTCTGTGGTGCGGCCCGGAACCAAACGGCCCACGGACCGGTACCGGTCCGCGGCCCGGTGGTTGGGGACCACTGGCGTAGACGACAGTTAGATAATGTTAGCTTAGCTATAGGTTTGTTTGACCAGGTAATAATTGTGTTTGTGCAGGTTGCAGCACTATAGCCCTGTCCAAAAAGTCACAAATATCACTTGTCATATTAGTAATATTAACTAATCTATCTAATTACCAAGCTGATGATGTCTTCTCTGTAAAATACAGCAACACAGCAAGCAAAGATATTACTTCTTTATGACAACTGACAATGACTAATCTGCCACCTTCTTTTCTGTTCAACACTAAGCTGGGATGAACAGGACAGATATTGGACACGCCAATAAAAAAAAAAACAGCTAACAATGCTCCCTCCTTTCAAGTATTAATAGAAATATACCCCTTGTTGGGCGCAGTTATGTGATTAGTTGAAAATCAAATTAATTTTAACAATGCTCTGCATTTCTTTTTTTAATTGTACCAAAGTGAGGTAATTTAAGGTACCAATCGCAGCCTTGTGCGCTGCGGGAGGCTTGCGTTGCTTGCGTCGCTTTCGACGCAAGCCTAGAAAAATGGCTCGACACACGCAAGGACGCAAGGAGGTGTGAAAGGGACACGCAAGGGGGTCTTGCGTCTGCATTTCTGCATTTCTTCCGACAAAAGTTCTTCACAACTCTACGTTTTGATTTTAAGTCAGGGATGACTGTGGATTTCACATGGCAAAAAAAGACATCAAACAACATTTCAATCAATGAAAGTAATACATCGCCGGCATATCAGTTGTTACTTATTTGCTTTATTATCCACCCATGGTGATTCTAAAATATTTCAGGAAAATTGTGACAGACTTACTTTAGTGTGCGCGGAACGCTGGGCGTTGTCGGTAGGATGGAGCACCTGGAGGCCGCACATGTCACACACGTCGCCGTGGAGATAGGCACAGTTGACTCCGTAGCGGCACTCTCCAACGGCTGCGTATGGACAGAGCTGCTTCTTCAGTTCTTTGTCGCCCTGCGATGCCTTACCGTCCAAGGTCTCTAAGAGAGGGGCACTGCTCTCAGGGTCCACTGGCTCAGCTGTGCAAGGAAACACGTTTACATTTATTTCATGTCCCTCCTCAAAATGGTTCCTTTTAAACTTCAACCTCAAAGGGCAACTTTTCATCACTTTTCTCATGTTTTGTACACAACTGTAAATCATTTATTATTATTTATTTATTTATTATGATGCCGGTGTGAAAAGACCTTTCCATAAAGTGTTCACAAGATTCAATACAACACACGTAATCAATGCTGACAACTCACCCCTTCCACAGTACGGCTGTCCAGGAACAAACTCAGCAGCGTTGACCCAGTCTTGTGCCTCTGAACCAGGTGTTAACCCACTGGGTTCCGGGTCTGACGAGCTGGCCAGCGAGGCAGAGGGCAGCGGCAGCGTTTGTGGGGTTGGAAACTCCTCGTCCTTTGCTGGTTTACAGTGGTCAAACCTGAGGAGGCACAGGGACCAGGATTGTTGCAGTTAACACAATCTACTGCTGATTCTGTAAAAGACGCACAATGAGAATGGCTTCACACCTTTTCTCCTTAATGAAGAGAAAGAGAGTAACCCTATAGTAGTGGCTGGATATAAATTGTCCAACAAAGGAATAATCCAGAAAGAGCAGAATATTCTAAGCGTAAGTAAACGCTGTCTGTCATTCAACACACAGTCTGAATGAAGTGAGAAATGATAGCCTACATAACTTGATAATCTGGTCACAACGGACTGGATTTCTATTTCTATTGATCTGGGACTTAGGTCTGTCCGATGTTTGGCACAGATCATTATGTGATGGAGGGGCAGGGTGGTGAAACCGTTTACAAACTTGTTTTGGGCCACCTACATTTTTCAACAGGTTTGATGTGTCAGAGTTAAACTTATTAAACAATATGATCAGCCACTGCACCATGTTCGTACATTGAGATTAAAGCTACAGAGCCAGAGGATAATATGGCCCAAAATGTTTCAAATTTTGCAATTCCAAATGCTTTTAAATGCGTTACTCTTGGGACATATTTATATTTGAATTTCTCCTTTGTTTGGCTGGTTCCTTTGTGGAACCAGCTTCCACTTTCAGTCCAGGGGGCAGATTCGGTCTGCTCTTTTATAGTAAAGCTAAAATCGTTCCTCTTTGATTTTGCTTATAGTTAGGGCTGGCTCAGGTTACCCCGGACCAGCCCTTAGCTAAGCTGTTATAGGCTTAGACTGCCGGTGGACTTCTTAGGACACACCAAGCTCATTTCTCATGCTCTCGTTCTACAATAATTCACGTTTTATTAATGCACATGACTAATTCAGATTCTTTCCGGGAGTTTTTTGTGCTTTCTCCCCTAGCAGATCTCCGTAGATCATAGTTCCTTCTGAACTGAGTGGCCCTGCTGACACCTGCTGCTGCCATCATCATTATCATTTGAAATATTAACCATATTACTGTAATCATAAACCAACATTACCCTCTCCTAAAGTCTCTGTGCTCTCCCTCCCCACAGGCTTCTGATGGTGGTTCTATCTGATGGTGGTTGCCCCTGCAGTGGTCCTGCTGCCTTACTACTCACAATTACTTGCATAATTTCTGTCATAGGAATTGAATGTATCATACATTGTTCATTCTGTACACATGGCATCCATTGTAGTCTGTCCATCCCGGGAGTGGGATCCCTCCTCTGACGTTCTCACTAAGGTTTCTTCCCTTTTTTTTTCCTCTTGGAGGTTTTTTTTTCATTTTTTGGGGAGTTTTTCCTGTGCCGATGTGTAGGTTTCGCGACAGAGGATGTCGTATGTGTACATACTGTAAAGCCCTCTGAGGCAAATTTGTAATTTGCGATTTTGGGTTATACAAAATAAAATGAATTGAATTTTAAAAAAACATGTAGTGTGTGTGTCTCTGTGACGTAACTGGCTGTGCTAACAAAGATATAAAACTACTATGCAATGTGTGAATGTGTTTAATGCAATTGATCTATGATAAGCAGCGAGCTTGACCTTCAGTATGGAGGGCTACAGTTTTTTAGATCAATAAAGCCTTGTAAAGAAGATGCCTGGGACACTGGCACCTACTTCTACTGGGTTTCAGATGACAGGCTATGGTTAACGTTAAAACCCTGAAGGCCAAGGAGGAGTTAGAGAATGCTTCAATAGCCAAGAACAAACAGTTGGGCTCATTTGTCAAATTGTAGGGACAGGGAAATCGGTCTCTATATGACAGTTTGACACTACCGCAAATACAGAACACTTATCCACAAGTGTCATACAGATTATTCAGAATCTTCTGTAAGTGTGTGCTTATTCTGTGCATAACTGGACAACAGACCAAAAAACATTTGGACATTGCTGTGTTAAAATGATAGGAGCCAGTTTGTGAGATTGCAACTGGACCCACACACATGTAGGAGGTGACCACTGGCACTGGAGGCAGTGAACAAGCGTTGGCACTAAGGATTGCCAGGTTACATTGGCAAACATTTTGAGAAATTAGAAACCAACTCCTATGTTAACCTCTACTTAACATTTAACAAATAGGGTTAGCTCAAACGTGCATACCAAAATAAAACAATTAGTAATAGTAATTAAAAGAATTAAATATAGCACTCACATCAAGAGCCAAAACAATACAACGCTGTAGGTGTTTTACAGACAATGGAAGAGAAGCAAATTAGGTTTGACTCTAAGGTGAAGTTGACTAACCCTCTACCTCAGGAAGAAACGTGCATATTGATTGAAGTGGAAAGGAACCAGATGAACCTTCATTTTAGTTTGAAATGGGAGCACAGCCCCACACGCAGCACATGCTGAAAAAGAACAACTACATATCTTTCCCAACAAGTCCAAAACAAGCAAAGGAAGAAAAAAATCTTAAAATGCATTTAATCTGACAGTTTTATGTAAGTGTATATAAATATAACATTGTATGCTCTTCTGCAACCTCACTGTGGTGATAAGCTGCAGGCAATTTAGGTATTGATGTGTGTTCGAGCGCTACTCAATAGAACTGATTATTGGTTGATGTTAAAATGCCATTACAATGTGTTCAACTGTAATCGTGTCAATTTTATTTTTGGGAGAGAAACTAATATATTCAGGGGATGTGTTAACAGGAGCATAAAATAGATATTTGAGATGGAATTAGCTCTAAGCTGTTAAATTATATAACTACTGAAAGCAAAGTATTTTCAAATCAAAGCAAATATTAAAATTACATTAAAAAAAATATTTTAACAATGTAGCTCCTTGCATGGCAGGACAATTGTGCACACACAGACAGATGTACAAAAGCAGCACTGCAAATCTATATGCATGCTGCTGATGTCAATCAGAACAATATGGACCAGTCTATTCCCAGACAGCCACTGAGAGCACTGGAAGACTAGGGAGGGAAGGAGAGCTGCCGTAGCTATGCATAGATTGAATCTTTTCATTTAGTTGACGCGTTTACCCAAAGCGACTTGGGGCCTTAATTTAAGAGGGTTCAGAACCAGATCAACAAGAATCAAGAAAGTACAATTTCTTAAAGAAAGCCAAACTACATAAATACATACATAAATCAGAGACAAGGGTGCTGCCGCAGAATTAACTTGAGGAACCAAGCAACAGCACAGGAGGGGGTGGCAAGCTCAGGGAAACAGGGACATGGAGAGCGTTATGCAATGCACTCTCTCTGGCCCTGGGGGCTGCAGAAGAAAGCGAGACAAGGAGTGAGACACAGACACCGACTGAGAGAGCAAAACAGAGCCCATCACAATAGACAAAGCCATGGGAATTCAGCCATAAGACAACAACAAAAGGAAAAAAGGAATGCGACTTATCAAACTAACAGTGGCAGCTCAGTGTTATATACACAGAACCAAAGGCTTCCTACATGCGAGGGACAGACCATTGAAATAAAATGATGAATGTCTGAATAACTAATACCGCCTTGCTGCTGCTGGGCTGGTCATCTGAGTGTCTCTCCAACTATAGGGATTCTCCTGAAGACAGACATGGAACAGGCACCGTCTGAGCTAGATGGCTGCTGCTGTATTCTAGCCTGGTCACAGACTGGGAGCCGAATCAACTTCTCAAAAAGTCCATGCCGCTGCACGTTCCAGCCTATTTACTACAAACAAATACAGCTCTACAGATTGCAGTCAAATACAGAGAAGAGCTTGCATAAATGGTAGCATTAAGATGTGTCAAAATCCGGCCCATCTTAACTGTCAGAATGTTAATGAAATGCAATACACTACCCTTTGGAAAAAAATACTCTTGACAAAAAAAGCTTATATTAATTGTGATAGTAGGGAATTACCTGGCTAATTTCCAAACAATATTAAATTAACCTGGATGCTTCATATACGTCAATGGGATTTACTTCAAGTTCAAAATCAAATGTAACATTAGTAAATTATCGATGAGCCATAATAATTAATATCTACTAATTATTATTACCAATTATGTTATAGCTCATTAGATGGCCAAGCAATCACTTAAGCAAAATATGTGAACAAATGAACTTGTTCCAACCTCTCAAATGCAAATATGTTGTGTTCTCGGAGTCCTCTAAGACAGTAAACTGACCATCTTTGAGAATTGAACTCAGAAAATGAGAAATATCTTATATTGGGATCAAGGAAATTGTGCATTACTTGTGCACAACAAATGATAATGAAAATGTCAGCAGATTAATAGATTATTAAAATAATCAGTAGCTGCAGCCGTGTGGTATGGTTCTTTAAGATAAAAACACTTCATAAAACACTTCATCCAAGCATCATATTTAAAAACAGACTAAACTTGTATATTATTAGGTAGGATTTTGAGAAAATAACACTTTTTGTCCAAAAGATTTTCTCAAATACATCCATCAGTGTCCATGTCCTATGCATGTACTAGGAATGCTGTCCTTTGCATCTCACACAAAGACGGGCGGTGAGAAAACCAGGAGCTGGATTATGCTGACCGGTGTGTTGAACATACACCAGCACCACTATCACTCAACACATTTTTATATTGTAGAAAAATTCTATCCAGCAGGTTACTTGTGGAATGCCACAGACAAGAGATTCTGGTCCTCATTGGACTCACAAGGAGCTAACAGAGCAACATGTTGACATTGGTAAGCAGCCGTCTCAGGATTCGGAAACACCTTGAGGATCAGGATGCAACACCTTGACGTGCTCTACAAACAAAGGGCCTGAGGCTAAGGCCCCTTTAAGAATGGAATTTATGATGCAGCTTAAGATGACAACCATGATATATTTTTATAAACTTGTAAATGCCAGTTGTGTACAAACACAAGCCAAACTTTACGGAATGCATCCAAATTGGAATAATGTTGGATTTTGATTCAAACTTCTATTTAAAATGTTACCTGCAACGATCCCCAAACACACAGTTCCCCTTCTGAAAGAACTTGCAAATCATGGCTGCAGGTTTGCTGCTGGTCAGATCGTGGGAATATCGACAGTTGTCCCCTTCTTTGCATAGACCATGCATGAAATACCTGTAAATATAGAATAACATTCGTTGAGTAAATAAACAATCTCTAACACAGGCCTACTGGCATTTACATTTGAACAGAAAAAAAAATCTAATCCTGATATCATTTCATTCAGTTTCAAGCTCAAGTTTAAACGTTTATCAAGCCCGCTAGATCTATCTCAATGTATTTTGTATAGCCAGAAAATAGCAAAAAATACAGATTAGACTCAAAAGAGCTTTACAGCATATATGCGACATCCTTTGTCCCGGAACCGTCACATCAGTTGAAAAAAACATTCCACGCCAGACAACTGAGTAAATTTCGTCTTTCAGTTTCGTTTAAGAAAAGCAATCAAAACCCGGTCACAGGAAAAGATCGGATGTGACACCCAGCAGGTGCTAGGAATAGGAGGGGAATAAAATAAAACCCACCAACCAGCTAGGCTAGTTAGTGTAAAAGTTGGCTTATTATAAAAGGCAGTGTGTCAAAGGGCAGCTTGCCCCGATGAACACATATTACTGGGTTCATCTTATCGTTCTTTTGTGTATGCGAACATCTTAGTTTTACATTGTTGCTTGCAGAGTTACTCGTTGAAAATATGGCTAGCAAGCTGGCTGCTAACTCCCTCCGCCTGCCTGCTATGAGAGCACAACAACACTATTGGGGCTAGCTACCCAACTACACAGCGTCTACTAGAGCTAGCTACCCAACAACACAGCGTCTACTGGAGCTAGCTACCCAACAACACAGCGTCTACTGGAGCTAGCTACCCAACAACACAGCGTCTACTGGAGCTAGCTACCCAACAACACAGCGTCTACTGGAACTAGCTACCCAATAACACAACGTCTACTGGAACTAGCTACACAACAACACAGCGTCTACTGGAGCTAGCTACACAACAACACAGCGTCTACTGGAACTAGCTAGACAACTGAGCCCAGCCTCAGATGACGCCTGTTGTCAGTCGTTGGCAAGCCACCGCATAACATACATTTTCGTATCGAACGGAAGACATAATCATCTTTGATGTTTTTAAAAAACCCTATTCTCATCTTACCTGCAGGTTACGTTTTTAGTCCAACCTACTGGTATTGACGAAGCCGCCATAGACGCTGCTGCTGCCTCCGCCATTGCTGTTTATGTTGAGAAGCAATAGCCCGGATGTTCCGGAAAGCTCCGCTCCAGCTCGGCTTTTTTCGCATCTGTACGGTTTCAGGCGGAACTTACCGAATACCTCGCGCCAGCCTGGTAGTGTCCACTACGAGGCAGCAGTGTCCCGGTGTTAACAAAGTAAATGAATGCGAGGGAGGCTTCGTTGTTCGCTGGCTGGTTCTTTACTATCGTCCCATGAGCGCCCGTTTACAGTACACGTCAACTCCCGTATAACCCCTAGTATCTGTGCAAGCACACTAGAGTACCGTATATGACATCTCCCCCTCTTTTGAGTGTTATGTCAATAACAACAAAGAAACAATTAAACTGAAAATGGCTACTTGAACAGTGAATAGCATGAACAGAGATTAACTTGAATTAGAACATTTGAGCACACCAATCAACAGACAACACATTGTCAACATCAACAACTTTCCTTTTCACCCCCCCCGAACATGTAATATGCACTTATCTACAGGTCAAGGCCTTGTCGACTTTTTCTGCACACTTCGTTCCAGACCTGGTCACAGTCTGACCGGGCAGAGGGGATGTGGGGTGTGGCCCAAACTCCTGTCTGACAGAAATGGTCTCTAACATAGTGGCTTCGTCATTGTGTGCGCATTGTTTCCATGCTGTAACAATCACTCACCCGGTACAATTAACCATCATTGTCCTCTACCGTCCGCCAGGCTCCTTAGGTCATTTCTTGGAAGAACTGGACATTCTCCTGTCTAATTTCCCCGAAAATGGACCTCCGCTCATCCTCCTGGGTGACTTCAACATCCAGACAGAGAAGTCACCTGACCTCTTACACCTACTTTCTTCCTTCGCTCTGTCACTCAGTCCCTCTCCTCCTACTCACAAAGCCGGCAATCACCTTGACTACATCTTTACTAGAAACTGCTCTACCACTAACCTCTCTGTAACTCCACTTCATGTGTCTGATCACTTCTTCATCTCTTACTCCCTTCCACTCTCTATAACTAACAAACCTCCCTCATTGACTAACTCTGTACCGGCTCGTCGCAATATTCGCTCCCTCTCTCCCTCCTCGCTGGCATCCTCTGTTCTATCAGCTCTCCCTTCAACTGACTCCTTCTCACTCTTGCATCCAAACGCTGCTGCAGAGTCTCTCCTCTCAACTCTTTCCTCCTCTCTAGACTCTCTCTGCCCTCTTACGACACGACGGACTGGCAAATCCCCTCCGGCTCCGTGGCTGTCTCAACCGGTCCGTGCCATGAGAGCCACCATGCGAGCGTCGGAAAGGAAATGACGTAAATATAAACGACCTGAGGACCTGCTCGAATTTCAATCTCTCCTCTCCTCGTTTTCTGCTTCTATCTCTGCTGCCAAAAGCTCTTTCTACCAATCCAAAATCGAATCCTCATTCTCTAACCCCAAAAAACTCTTCTCGATCTTCTCCAATCTCCTCGAACCCCCTACCCCTCCTCCCCCCTCCACCCTTCTTCCGGGAGACTTTGTCAACTACTTCACCAAGAAAATAGCTGACATACGCTCCTCCTTCTCAAACCCACCTCCTACTTCTCGCGTCCCACCGACCTCACCTCTTTTGCCCTCACTTTCCTCTTTCACCGCCCTCTCTCCTAACCAAATTCTTACCCTAGTAACCTCTGCCCGTCCGACCACCTGCCCTCTTGACCCCATTCCATCACATCTTCTACAATCTATTGCACCTGACCTTCTTCCGTTCCTCACCTGTCTCATCAACAACGCTCTGATATCTGGCTGTTTTCCCAATTCTCTGAAGGAGGCAAGAGTCAACCCTCTCCTGAAGAAACCCACCCTCAACCCTTCTGAAGAAAACAACTACAGACCGGTCTCTCTTCTTCCCTTTTTGTCCAAAACCCTTGAACGTGCTATCTTTAATCAACTCTCCTCTTATCTCCACTGTAACAACCTCCTTGACCCCCACCAGTCAGGTTTCAAGGCAGGCCACTCCACAGAGACTGCTCTCCTTGCTGTCTCTGAGCAACTCCACACTGCTAGAGCCGCCTCTCTCTCCTCTGTCCTCATCCTTCTGGACCTCTCTGCTGCATTTGACACGGTCAACCACCAGATCCTTATTTCCTCCCTTCAGGAACTTGGTGTCACAGGCTCTGCTCTCTCCCTTCTCTCGTCCTACCTCGATGGTCGCACCTACCGGGTAACCTGGCGAGGATCTGTGTCGGAACCTTGTCCTCTTACTACTGGAGTTCCTCAGGGTTCCGTGCTGGGTCCCCTCCTGTTTTCGCTTTACACAAACTCTCTTGGCGCTGTCATTCGCTCGCATGGCTTCTCTTACCACAGCTATGCCGATGACACCCAACTAATTCTCTCCTTCCCTCACTCGGACACCCAGGTGGCGGCTCGGATCTCTGCCTGTCTAACTGACATCTCTCAGTGGATGTCCGCCCACCATCTGAAAATCAACCCCGACAAGACTGAACTACTTCTCTTTCCCGGAAAAGATTCGCTTACCCAGGACCTGACAGTCAAATTTGGGAACTCCGTACTAACGGCCACCTCGACCGCTAAGAACCTCGGCGTCACACTCGACAGCCAACTCTCCCTGACTCCCAACATTGCCGCGACAACGCGATCCTGTAGATACACGCTCTACAATATCAGGAGAATACGTCCCCTTCTCACTCAGAAGGCAGCGCAGGTACTGATTCAGGCTCTTGTCATCTCCCGCCTGGACTACTGCAACTCCCTCCTGGCAGGTCTCCCTGCCACCGCCATTCGACCTCTGCAGCTCATTCAGAATGCAGCAGCTCGACTGGTCTTCAACCTTCCGAAATTCTCCCACACTACTCCACTCCTCCGCTCTCTTCACTGGCTACCGGTGGCCGCCCGCATCCAGTTCAAAACATTGGTGCTCACGTACCATGCTGTGAATGGATCGGGTCCAGCTTACATCCAGGACATGGTCAAACCCTACATCCCAACCCGCACTCTCCGCTCTGCATCTGCAAAACTACTCGTCCCTCCCTCACTGAGAGCAAAACACTCGACTAGGTCTCGACTCTTCGCTGTCCTTGCTCCGAAATGGTGGAACGAGCTCTCTGAAGACACCAGGACCGCAGAGAGCCTTCACATCTTCCGCCGCAAACTAAAGACACACCTCTTCAGACTCTACCTCGACTAAAGACTAACAAATTGTAGCACTTAAATTGTACTTGTAACGTCACTCATCTATAGCAAATTGTAAATTGGCTTATTTGAGGAAATTGCACTTTCTTGTTTCTTGTTCTCCTGAGTTTGTACCCTATGGTTGAATGCACTTATTGTACGTCGCTTTGGATAAAAGCGTCAGCTAAATGACATGTAATGTAATGTAATGTTTGTCCCTGAGACCTCCCCATGTGCTGCCGGGACGGGCTGGGGAACCGGCACTGGCTGGAGGTGGCGGCGATTCCGCCGCAGCTCCGCTCCATGCTGTGTCTTGATGACAAAGGACCTTGGGGTGGTGCTCTCGCTTGAGATTATCGCTGGCAGAGACAATGAGTGTTCATGGTCCAACTTGGAAGACACAACATCTCCTGGATGCAGGGCAGGTAGCGGCCTGACTCCATGACAACGGTTGTAATAGTGAGCATGTTTAGCCTTTTCCCTGTCGTCCCTCTCCTTCACAGCTGTCCTGTTGAGCCATTTGGGCAGGAGGTTTTTCTCTAGAGTAGGGAGTGTGGTTCTGATTTTCCTCCCCATCAACAGCTCGGCTGGACTGAAGCCTGTGGTGGAGCAGGGAGTGGACCTATAGCTCATCAGTGCCATCAGAGGGTCCGCTTGCTTGAGAATTTTCTTTGCCATCTGTACGGCTCTCTCTGCGTGCCCATTTCCCTGTGGGTGGTGTGGGCTGGATGTGCAGT